ATTTTGTTAAAAGGTGGCGCAAGTGCTACTGACGTTACCGTACTCGTTCAGTCAATTAGGGATGTTATCGGGAATAGTTCTTCAGATCTTCTATGGTTTACTCGGAAGCTGGACTGCTTATCTCATCAGTGTTCTCTACGTCGAGTACAGAGCTCGTAAGGAAAAAGAAGGCAAAAGCTTCAAAAACCACGTCATTCAGGTCCCCCACACATACTTCATCTCTCTCTAATCAAATTCACTAATCATACATAATTATAAAACTCTCATCACTAATCTTGTTTTTATAAAACAGTGGTTTGAAGTACTGGATGGGTTACTTGGTACATACTGGAAAGCAGCAGGACTCGCATTCAATTGCACTTTCCTCTTGTTCGGATCTGTTATCCAACTCATTGCTTGTGCCAGGTCTCACCTCTCTTTCCTTTTTCTTTTTTTCTCTTAATTATATACTAATACAATCTAAATCATTAACAAATAATGAACAAAAAAATGATTGGTTAATATTTGCAGTAACATTTATTACATAAACGATCACTTGGACAAGAGAACATGGACTTACATATTCGGCGCGTGCTGTGCAACCACTGTGTTTATACCGTCCTTTCACAATTACCGTATTTGGTCTTTCCTCGGCCTTGGTATGACCACTTACACCGCTTGGTACTTAGCCATTGCCTCCATCATCCACGGCCAGGTATTTTTCTTTTTTTATTTTAGTTTTTAAAAGATTTTACAAACATTACATTTTAAAGATCACTACACTGTCGTTATCATATTTATATGCTTTGCAATGAGGTGACAGTATATGCCTTCAATTTTTTTAAAAAAAATTCGCATTTCTCTTTTAAGATCAGGGAAAAAGAAATGAATTATTCCCTGCATCTAAACCCAAATTTGTATTATAAAAGTTTTTTAGGACTAGACAAAATTAGCACTGTGTTAAATGATTATATTCTCCTAATCGAATTTTTATTTGTATTGCTTGTTAATGATTATATATAGACGGAAGGTGTGAAACACTCAGGTCCAACAAAGCTAGTGCTTTATTTTACCGGAGCCACCAATATCTTGTACACCTTTGGAGGCCACGCTGTTACTGTGTAAGTTTCATCTCTTTTCTAATTCTTTTTCATTTCTAAATGATTACTATTCTAATTTTATATTGACAGAAAGATCAATTAATTCTGTCAGACAATAGTTGAATAAGTAACTATTTTAAGTTAAAGCTAAATTGGAAAAAAAAAAGTATGATATCTTAAATTGGTGTCATATTATTAAATTATGGGTTGCTGCTGTAGTATCGTTTCTTCGCCGCTTCTATTGCAGCTTTTGCCGGCAAATATGGTGTAACTATTATTACTGTCATCATGATTATTATCATTTTTTATTTTTTTATCGTTTCCTCTCTATCCTTAAAATAGTAGTACTCTAATAAATTGTATTTTTCTAATCTTTCTTTTATCTGTAAAAAAATAAAAGAGAATAGTAGTAGTAACTATTCCTATCCTTTTAAAGAATTAACAAACACTATTTGATACCAAAGCACTACTACTAGTACAGGAATAGTACTGCTTATTTGAAATGTCAAACACACCCTTAGATGATTGTGGTGTATCGAATCGTTTTACTTATTTATTTGATTATAGGATTTATATTTAATATTGACTTTTGTTATTGCAGTGAGATTATGCATGCGATGTGGAAACCACAGAAGTTTAAGTACATTTACTTGATGGCGACGTTGTACGTTTTCACACTAACGATTCCTTCAGCTGCCGCCGTTTACTGGGCCTTCGGAGACGCACTCCTCGACCACTCCAACGCGTTCTCTCTCATGCCCAAGAACGGGTGGCGTGACGCTGCTGTTATCCTCATGCTCATTCATCAGGTATACATTTTACATTTACACATTTAACAATACATTTTAGTTAAATCTCCATCATGAGGTTTGTTTATTATTAACTTATGCGATATGTTTTTTTCCGTGCAGTTTATAACGTTCGGATTCGCATGTACGCCATTGTACTTTGTTTGGGAGAAAGTGATAGGGATGCATGACACGAAGAGCATTTGCTTAAGGGCTTTGGCTCGGTTACCCGTGGTTATACCTATTTGGTTCTTAGCTATTATTTTCCCCTTCTTCGGACCCATCAATTCTGCTGTCGGTGCTCTTCTCGTTAGCTTCACCGTCTATATCATCCCTTCCCTCGCTCACATGCTCACTTACCGATCTGCCTCCGCTCGTCAGGTTATTATTACTACATTTTATACTCATTCCACTCTCTTTTCATCCTTAAGCTTACAAAGTTTCTTGAGTTTACCATACATAAACTTAACAAAAAAAGTGTTACCAATTATACGCTATCCTAAGTTGATAGAAGAAGAGTCGGTGGAGGAATATTTATTATAGTTGAGGGGTAGGGTTGTGAATAGTTAATGACACTGGAGGGCAAAAAAGACTAGGGAAGAAGATAGATGGGGTTCAGTGTTCCGTATCTTACGGAAGATAGGATCATCACCCACATTCCTTACTGGCGTGTGGCGTCCCCTCCAAATTATTTATTATTGAGAGTTGGTTTCAGCTCATTCTTTATATAGAAGAACAACATAAATATAATTTTCTGGTTAGGTTAGTATTAGTAAATAGTAATTGACCATGACTTCTTCTTTTTTTTTCTTTTCTTTTGTACCTTTTTTCTAACCAGTGTATATGATATTAACATAAGGAAAAAAGTTAGATGAAAAAGGGATATTTTGGGAGGAAAATAAGGGAGAGGAATAGGTAAGAGTCATAATCATATATGAAAAGGAGCTGTACAAGAGGGACTCTGTGCCTAACATTAATCTAAAGTGAGAGTCTGAGTATGACAAATCACAATCATATCTCTCTCTCTCTCTCTTTCTATCTCTCATGGGTCAACAAAGCTTTGGATTTTGTCCATTACTATACGACCAAAACTCACAAACACTTAGACTCTCTCTTTTTATTTTTTTTATGGTTTCTTGATTATTTTCTTGTTTTGTATCTTTCTTGTAGAATGCGGCGGAGAAGCCACCGTTCTTTATGCCGAGCTGGACGGCGATGTACGTGTTGAATGCATTCGTGGTGATATGGGTTCTCATTGTTGGATTCGGGTTCGGTGGATGGGCTAGTGTGACCAACTTTGTTCGTCAAGTCGATACTTTTGGTCTCTTTGCTAAGTGTTACCAATGTAAACCAGCTGCAGCCGCTGCCCATGCTCCCGTCTCAGCTTTACATCACCGTCTTTGAGAGATCGAGTGCCAAGGGTGTAATGCTTTTGTGGAGGGTTCTTGAAATTATTTCTTCTTCTTTTGTGTTTTTGTGTTCCATCTTATACGTAAAGGGAGTAAAAGTCACCAAAATAGTGTTCTTTTTACACACCCCTTTAAAATGCGTGCCAAGTTCTTAATTTTTTTTTTTCTCTTTTGGGGTTTTGTATTTTTGTTTTCACTCCTTAGTTTTTCTTTAATGAATAGTCGATAATATGTAGTGTGTGATTTCTTAATTCGGTATTTGTTAAAAACAATAGGCTAAGAAATGTATCGTCTTCTCTACTTTCTTTACTTGGCTTTAGTTACACGGAACAATCCATTTATATCACTAAACACACTAATCTTTTTCTGTCAAGAATAATTTATTCTACTGATATAACTTTTAACACAAAATCATTATTAATACTAATGATTGATCTTATTTATATATCAAAGTACATTAAGATTTCTAAAAATGATTTTTGAGTAATATAGTTTTGAAACTGGCGATGTATGAACATGGACAAGTTGGAGCGAAGGAGCCGGTCATATATATATAAGGGCCACATGGGGGGTAGGGTGTGGGGAGAGGTCGCACGTGGATTCGTGGTCTGAGTCACGTGCCATTATTTACTTCTCACTCTTGTCTCTCTGATCAAAGGAATGGATCAGAGGACCGTTCTTGTCTCTCTTATTAAATATGGGCATGTGTTGTTCATACTACTCCAATCGTTACCCCTTCTTCCCTTATCATATGCTCTGGTTTCACATGTACTTTGCCCACAAAAAATAACCATTTATGTATTCACTCATATGTATTATTAACTAAAATATTCTGGTTTGAATCCAGAGATTATTTCTGTACTTCCCATCTGACTTCTTTTTCGTTTCTTGATTTTAAAATAGATAAAGAAAAGGAAAATGTTACTTCTAATAGCATATTAGAGAAAGAAGAAGTGATTGTGACACAATGTGAATGTTAGTCACATATATGCGAATATAAAGTAGGACCTTTGATGAGGTAACTCTGGTTGGTTAGTGTGTGAGTGAGTTGGGTTGATTCAAATAGTCAATAAACTATGTGGCGAGAGGTGAATCTTCTTTTATTTTGTTCTGATTTTAAGAAGCCATGTGAGTTTTTTTCTTGAGACATTTTGTGTTATTTTTCTTCTTTTATTATAGAGACCTTTTTATAAAAAAAATATTAGTGGAAGATATATTGGACTATCTGGATTCAGGAAAAAAAAATCTAGCTAACATGGATAAACCAATGATGGTATTCTTGAAAATAAGTACAATTGTTTGATAGTATTATTTTGGAATAAGGTATGCAATAAATAGTATTTTTTTCATTTTAAAAAATATCTCCCAACAATTATTCAATCATGTCTTTTCATGAATTTTGACATCTTTCTCTCCTTTGGCCTCAATTCCATTATTTTTGACATATTGCATTTTCTTAAAGAGGCATCTTGAGCTTGTTTCAAAGTTTCGAGGGCTGAAATATCAAAAATCATTTCTGGATGTCTACTATTATATACTCCACATAACCCAAACACATGATGAGTAAGTAGCTTGAGTTGAAGGGTAAGTGAAGTCGTTACATGAATTTTGTAACAAAAATTTTCAGGTGTTTGTTCCAATCATCAGCCAAGTTTTGACCTTTGAGAGACCTGAGATAGCTATGAATACGAAAACCACAAAGTAGACACACAAGACCGTTGAAATGTCACACTAATCGCTTACTCAACCGGTTTGACTAATACCTTAATCCAGTTGAAAATATTTCATAAAATTGGGACTAATATTGTACCCACCTTTAATATTTCTTAATACGAAATAGAACATTGTCTTATCATGTTCAGAATTTGGAATACATAGAAGAAACACACCTCTGCTCATGGCCTCAAAGATGGCATTAGACAATGGTGCTGGTGCATGAGATTCTCTTGACCTCAGATGATTAGGAAGTGACTGGGTCATCCAGTAAATTTCTCCTGCTCTTGTTGGGTTTAATCTTGAGAAGGTATTTAAGGTACACGAGGCGTAGGGAACACAACCGGGGTATGAACTTGAGAAGGTATTTGAGGTATTTGAGGTAGACGAGGCTTAGGGAACAAGAGCTTCAGGCGAAAAGCATCCATTCCATTTAAGTAATAGTGGTATAGCCGTTTGGCTCTTATGAACCCAAGACGCCCATATAGTGCCAATGCTCCTTTGTTACTCACTTCTGCCTCCAGAGTTACCTTCAATCATACATTTTTTCGTTCATTAGATTGCATAATCACACAACCATACTCAAATCTCGTAATCAGACTTGAATATATGAAACTTGAAGAACAAATGCCACTCAAAAGGTTCCAGTTGCAATCTAGACTTACTAAGTAGTAAGTTACTACTCCAATCACAATTAAGAGATCTCACAGATACAACAGAAAATGACTTGCTTAGGAGGAATTTTTTAGTAGTAACTTACTACTTAAAAAAAAACATACTCTCATGTTGTAATCAGACTAGATAATGAGGAATTTGAAAAAGCAAATGCCACTCAGGAGGTTCTATTTGCAATCTATTTACTACTTAAATTATAGTTAAGAGATCACCGAATACCAAATTCGTCAGTTGGAGACATGGATTTCTTATTTCAAATTAGTAAATTACCATCAGTTACATTCCAATGCGTATGGCTATAAGGAGTCATGGACTACTTACAGAAGTTATATTACGTATGTATACAAAGTGAGAGACTGGGATTTGTGATTTCCAACTACAAACATTCCTAACGTAGCACAAAATCAAGGGGGCTAAACAAATACGGAATGGTTCTAACTCTTAGGAATATGATTAACTACTACTCTTATATGTGGAAACAAACTTCCACACACAGTGATCTACAAGCTTTTTATAGCTAAACAATTAAATGGAATAGAAACACTTGCAATAATTTAGTGCAACTGTATCAACTTACCTCTGAAATCTATGCTAGTATGATAAAAAGGAGGTAATGTTTGAGGACATGTAACGTAATCTCATAAAAGAAGACGCCTGATAATGCCTTATCTACAATTATACTACCGGTTAAGGATATTACTCAATCACCACCAAATATCTAAGTTCTCAAGAGAGAAGTGAAAAAGCAATAGCATACCTCTTCACAGCCTGATTCCATCATCGCTTTTATTGATCTCGTGACAAGCTCCGAGGCTGTAAATAAAACACAATGAAAAGTTAGCACACAAACATATCCAAACTTGGCATGGCTTTGTAGTGGAACAAACACTATCAGCATCACAAAAATGTCAGCTATCACTATCTACTACTCCCAGCATCAATCTGATTTTGTAATAAATTAGGGATCAGTAGCTCGAATATTACCTATGCCTCGGCCACGATATGGTTTAATCACAACTAACATAGCGATGTACCCTCTGAAAGTCTGTCGATGATCTCCCATCTTACAGACTACGGTTCCTATGCATTTACCTTTGTGAAAGGCCTTTTTAGAAAAGAAACGAAATTATCCACTAAAACAGAAAAAATATGATAGGAAAAGAAAAGGCAGGGGTATCAAAATACCAGGAAGCATAGCTGCGGCCAGAGGTAGACGAAGTACCGGTAAGTAAAGATAGAGTAAGGTTCACTAAGTTCTTGGTCAACAAGAGACATAATCAATGGCAGATGATGCTCACCAGCATAACTCGTATACTCAATCTCAGCCTCATCAAATTCTTCTTTATCTTCCAACCCTTTCTCCATTGAAAGAAGTGAATGAGATCCCGGATTGTAAACTTACAAAGACAAAGTTGAAATTTTGTTCAGTTATATATATATATGTAAGTGATGGAAACTTAATGCAAAGTCAGAGACGATAAAGCGGGAACGCTAAAGGAGTAATTTTGAGAAACTAAAGCATATTCTAGGAATCGAATTAAGTTGCTTTCTCGGATTCATATTGAGCTGATTGCCTCAAATTTGAAAGTTTAATGTTTTCATGACAAACTCAAATTGCTCAATCAACAGCTGAAACGGGCATCTATAACGACACTCTAGTAAATCAAACGACTTTAGCTAAAGCAAGCTCTGGAAAGATCGGAGAGCTGAGAGAAGAAAGCTTACAGATGTTCTGCGACCGTAGCTCTGCGGTTGGGATTAGTAAGAATCCTGTGTAGCATAAAAAGGACAAAACAACACAGATCAAATACTAATTAGTGAGAGAGTTATAAAGAGATAAGGGTATAAAAACTAAAAATTTCAGATGCCAATATCAATGGGATGATTAACAATACGTACCAAGAGTTTGAGCTTTGTGAGATTCGAAGATTAAGGTTTTACGATTTGGTGGGTGATGATGAATGTTTCTGGAGAAGAAGAAGTTCCAAACTCCAAAGAGAAAAGAGGAAGGAGGAAGAAGACACGTGACAAGCATGTGTAGGGTTTGAAGATGGATTTGGGCTTATAATAGGCCCAAATAATTAAAAAACTAAGCCCATTTAAGCAAAGTTAATTAAAAAGCCTATTCTAAAAATCTTTTTGTTTCAACTTTTTCACTTCACTACCTTATCTTCTTCATCTCCCTCGGAACACATTCGAAAACAGCAAGCAACACGGCGATGGCGTCGCTTATACTTGGAGCTCCTCCGCGAGTCACCGTCGCAATATCTTCTTCACGGTTATCATCTTCTCAATCAGAAACCGCCGGTGTCTCTCTCTCTTGCTTCACTCAGCAATTCTCTCTATCCGCTTCCTCATCCAGCTCAATTCCACTGGGTAATCTCTTTTAACTCTCCCCGCAATGTATCAATCTCTCTCTAATCTCTCATAAATTGCTAATGGCGTGAATTTTTCAGTGTACTGTGGACGAGGTGACCGCAAAACAGCTAAAGGAAAGCGTTTCAATCACTCTTTTGGGAATGTAAGTGATCAAATCTCTCTTACAATTTCTTAATTTGACTTTGCGAATTCGAAATTTGGGTTTTGAGTTTTGGGTGTGTGAACGTGAACAGGCGAGGCCACGAAACAAGAACAAAGGAAGAGGGCCGGAGAGAGTACCGGTTCCTCCAGCACCGCCGAGGAAAGATAAGTTTGAGAACGACGAGAAGATCAAAATCGACATCGACGAGTCTCTCTTCTCGAATTAGAAAAATGAGTCTCTTCACTTCTCATCTCTCACTGTAATTTTAATTTGATTTTGGTTCTGATGCTGCGACTCTTTTGTTGTTAAAACATCTCTTCCTTCAATGAAAGTTTCTTTTTTCTTTTTCTGAACCAGTTTTTCTCTGATTCGAGTCTTTTACAAAGAAAGAAAAAGCAAATCAAATATGAACACCAAACAGCAAAAGAAAACGAGAATAGTTGTACCTGTTTGAAAGTACAGACTTTGTGAAGTTTCTTCAGACTATGCAGTGAATGGAGATGAGACTGGACAAAATCGTTGTATGCTTGTATCTGTTTAGAAAGTATGATACTTTATGATGTTTCTTCAGACTGTGCAGTGAATGGAGATGAGACTGTACATTACCCTTCCTTGAAAAACGGGAATCGTTGTATGCTTGTATCAGTTCAGAAAGTATGAGACTTTGTGATGTTTCTTCAGACTGTGCAGTAATTGGAGATGAGACTGTACATGACGATTCCTTGAAAAACGGGAATCGTTGTATCTGTTTAGCAGTTTAGAGAGTATGAGAGTTTGTGATGTTTCTGCAGACTGTGCAGTGAGAGGAGATGAGATTGTACATGACGCTTCCTTCTTCAATCTTAATCTTCCTTGTGACTTTGTTCCACAGATGAACCATGTAACTCCCTTTGCTCATGTCCTGTACCGTCTTGTCTACCCATTTTGCTTCTGTTGTGGTTGCAGGTTTCTTGAAAAGCTTTGGGATTTTGATCCAATTTACTGGATAGAAAGCATCCGGAGCAAAGATTGTGAAGTTAAATCCAGGTTTGTTTCCTACTCTCTTGATAACTCTAGAGACTAGGTAAGGGCTGTTGTGTCCCCATATGTTTCCGTCGAAAGTTGTGGAGTACTCTTGCAAGAATTCTCGCATAAGCGGATGGTAGGTGTCAAAGACCATCACTGCGTTGTTTAGTCTTGTCCATATCTTGGTTTTCGGATCGATACTCTGTGCTCCAATCGCGTTTCTTAGTCTTGTTATATCACCAAGGAAGATGATGTCTGTGTCGAGATAGACTCCTCCGTATTTGTAGAGCACGGCGAGTCTAGTTAGGTCAGAGAGATTCATGAACAAGGGGATCGAACCAGGATCCATGTGGCCACTCTTTAGCCTTTTCAGCCAAGCTTCAGCAGGAGTGTTCTTGACGAGGAATGGGATGTCTAAGGTCACAGCAATGAGGTTGAAACCTCGATCAAGCAATGGTTTAAGAATGGTGTATCCTCTGGGGGAGTCTAAGGAGTTGGACAAGATCGCCAAGCAGGCTCCAGGATTGGTGGTGAAGAGAGTGTCGACAGCTAACATCTCTCTTGGTCCAAAGGAATTTGCGGGAGAGAGCCAAACCATAAAGAACTGAGCGGAGCAACTGCTGTTGTACAACTCCAAAACTCTTGAATGGAATCTCTTGCTCTTGCTAGTCGATTTCAGTATCTCCATCTCAGGTAGCTTTCTTCTGAACCACTCAATTCTCTCAAGCTTGCCAGCTTTACGAGGAGGTACCAACAGATCTAACTCCTCTGTTTCGTTATGGTCTGAGCAGTCTACAACTTTGATGATACTACTACTGCTCATGGTCACGGAGTCAGTGGTTCTGGAGAGAGGCATGTTTCTTCTGAACCAGTTGATTCTCTCAAACTTGCCAGCTTTACGAGGAAGTATCAATGGATCTAACTCGTATGTTTCGTTATGGTTGGAGGAGTCCACAACTTTGACGATACTACCACTCTTGGTCACGGGGTCATTGGTTCTGGTGAGAGGCACGTTTCTTCTGAACCAGCCGATTCTCTCAAACTTGCCAGCTTTGCGAGGAGGTACCAACGGATCTAACTCGTCTGTTTCGTTATGGTCGGAGGAGTCCACAACTTTGACGATACTACTACTACTCATGGTCACGGGGTCATTGGTTCCGGAGACGGGAACGTTTCTTCTGAACCAGTCGAGTCTCTCAAACTTGCCAGCTTTAGGAAGAGGTACCAACGGATCTAGCTCGTCTGTTTCGTTATGGTCGGAGGAGTCCACAACTTTGACGATACTACTACTGCTCATGGTCACGGGGTCATTGGTTCTGGAGAGAGGCACGTTTCCTCTGAAATCGTCAATTCTGTCAAACATGCCAGCTTTACGAGGAGGGACCAACTGACCTAACTCTTTCTTTTCATTACGGTCCGAGAAGTCCAGAACTGTAACGATAGTTGTAGTACTCATGGCCACGGGGTCATCGGTTCTGGAGAGAGGCAAGTTTCGTTTGAACGGTGAGTTGTTGTCGGGGACAACAGATGTGGGAGAATCAACGAAGACAAGATACAACACGACTACAGAAATCGCATAGATCGCGAACAACGGTAGCTTCCTTGCTTGCATCTTCAATCCTCTTGGAGTAACAAAACAAAAAAAGCTCTGGCTAGGTATCCTCTTTATTCGGAATACGGTAGACAGATTATAGAACGTAGAGCGAACAGCACATGAGGTTAATCCATATATAACAATTTATGTCGGTGTAATTGGAATTTGTGTTAGGGCTTCAAAAAACTACATATTGGATAATGTTATCTTATTGGATAATGTTATCTTATTATATAAAACTTACTTAATAAAACCCAAAATACAAAGAGACTTTAAATTTAAATTAAATTTAAATTTATTCTAGTAAATTATGTTCGATAAGTGTTTCTAAGGTGTGTAACACTCATCTACCAAAAAGGGTGACAAATATACACATCGAGACAAGGGGATTTTGGAGTGGATCGGAGCTTTGAACTTTTGATACGTGTGTCGCAAGGCAGTTAAGTTTATACTTTATATATTCAAAATATGGTGGTTAAGCGAAACAAATGTTTACCATTTAGGCTTTGGACAAAATCTTACACAAACCTAGAAAATCAAGATTGGAGTTAAAAACACAAACACACCTAATAATGATTTTCTGTTATCTCTGAATTCCTCTGCAAACAACACAATGGTCTGAAATTATGATGTCTATAACACTTCCCTTTCCGATCTTAATTTTTCTAGTGATCTTGTTCCACAGATGCAGTCCATAACTGTATCTGTTCAGCTTGACCAGATCGGCTTTGAGTAATGTCGAATCATTGCTGCTCCTTGGTGTCTGAAACAGTCTTGGAATGTCTAACCAATTGAATGGATAGAATGCTACTGGTGGCAGAACTGTGAAATTGCCCCCAATCGTTTCTCGAGCTCTCTGCGCTACTCTGGTTACCAAGTAAGGTCCATTGTGTCCCCATTTGTTCCCATCAAAAGTGGAAGCAAACTCCTCTATGAAACTGTAAACAAGTGGGTGATCTTTCTCGAAGATCAGAACCGCATTGTTCAACCTTGTCCAGTTCTTTGAATCACCTTCAACCACAGTTTGTGCTCCTATTGTATTCTTCAACCCTTGGAAGCTTCTAGTAACGATGAAGTCGGTATCTAGGTACACGCCTCCATACTTGTACAGAATCGCTAGCCTTGCGAGGTTTGATAGATTCTGGTGTAGTGGTATCCTTCCCGGATCCCTCTTGCAGCTTTTCATTTCTTGAAACCATGTTTTGGCTGGTGTGTTCTCTAGCAGCAATGACATGTCTGGTGTGACTGCAGAAACCTTGTAACCGCGATCATGTAACGGTTTTAGGATGATGTCTCCTTCTAGAGAATCCATAGATCCTGATACAATCATCAAGCATCCTTGAGGATGAGCTTTAAAGACGCTTTCTACAGCCAAAAGTTCTCTTTTCCCAAAATACTCTGCTGGTGAAAACCATGTCATGAAGAATCTAACCTCACATTTGTCGTCGAGAGACTCAACAACTCTCTGATGAAACTGCTCTGAAAGGTTAGTTGACCTGAAAACCTCGAATTCTGAGAGATGTGATCGAAGCCAAGCCATCCTATCTCTGCTTGTAGTGTTCTTTGGAGGAGCCAATGACTTTCTCTCCATCCCGTTCATTTGTGTTACCTCAGAGGTCGGTGAAGACCAGAAGAAAGTTGATTCTAGAGACATGTTTGAAAGGATTGTTCCCGCGACAACGAGCAGCATTATGACTGCGAAAATGGCTGTAGAGAATACCGGGGAATTCGTGTGCCTGTAATGCCGGACGTCAAGTATCTCTGAGAGACTCTTCTTGTTACTATTATCCTTCTCCATTGTTTCAGAATGTGTGGAACAGAGAGGGAAAGTCAAAATCTCACATGGAGTCCTGAAGCATATAATTATAAAGGTATATAAAAACTTCTCTTAGATTAATGTGATTTAATCTGTGTAGTTGGATTATTTTAGATGTAAGTTAATGTGGTTTGGTCTAGGTAGTTGAATTAATGTAAGAGAGGAACAAAGTTGAAATGTTGAGGCAGAATGAAAAAGAGCATGATAAACTCATCTTCTCCATTTTCTAGGTATTTGTTAGGTCAATCTTACGTGGGAGTTTGGTTGTCATATATAGATAACATATGATGGTGGAATATGCTGAAGATGTGCATGCCACTAACTTCTACGAGTACCATAATTTTCTGTGTAGCTGTTCTTGTGGATGATTTAGGACAAGAATTTTTTTAAATATATTATACTTATAATGTTTCTTTCTATAGTTATATAATTGTACTTAATTTAGCCATTTGAACATATTATATATTTAAAAAACTTAGTTATTATGATTAGATTAATTTTGCCAAACTATTTATTGTTATTAATTAATCCGTTTTGCCAAACTCTTGAATGTTTAGTTGATTTTTTTTTTTGTTGCCAACCCTTTAATAATTTCAATCGATTGATGTTGAAAAGGTATATAATAATGAATCAATGATACGTGCAACATATGTTTGTTTTCAGATTTTAAATGCTGATAGCAAACTAGTTTAAACCATCACTACTTTCTCTTGATTCTCAAAGACTCGGCTAGGTTCAACTTGTATTAGCCGATGTCTAATGAGAGGTACCTCATACATATATGATATAACCAACACATGGATGCTAGGAAACAATTCTCTGATGAAACAAGTTCGTAATAATACTATGTAGTTCTTCACCAAAGCTGATGATATATCACGATCACTCGGTTTTTTCTACTGAGTTTGTTGAGGCATTGGTTGTTACCTTCAGATTCTTTGAAACACTACGCCTTATGTTCTGCAAGACGAAATGTAAATTATTGTGAGAAGTTTTAAGAAGAAAAGCTTGCTTTTGTTTCATTAACTAAGTAGCTTGAATTGTTAAAGGAGTGAGGATGTGTACCATGTGGCGTAAGGCCATGTCAAGGGAGGACCTAGAGAGATTTCTCCCAAAGCCCGAGCTCGTGTTATCGTTATATTTTGGAGGTGGCAGTTTCCTCATGTTTACAACTCTTTCCACCATTTGAGTCCCCATCAACACAGGATTCACATCATTGCTAATCTTGGACCGTCCTGTTGATCTGTCCCCTGAACTGTATACTCTGCTTCTTGACGTTGAGACAGGTCTGGCACGTGTTTCAGGGATCGTTGGAGTTGTAGACTTAGCACTAGAAACTGACTTTCCCACTGAGGATGAACGGGTAAAGGCAGATGCTCGTGGATTTGATTTGATTGTAGAGGTTCTAGTGTCTGGATTTGAGTTCTGAGCAGGGTTGGTTAGTCTTGTGGAAGGTAATGTGGATCGTGAAGTAGGTGTGGATTGTCTTGACTGCTTACTGCTTGATTTTACTTCTCCAGCGGTATTGATAACTTGTTTGCTTAAAGCAGTTCTTGGGATTGGCTTGGAAGCCTTGACGCTTCTTGTCACAGGTTCTTGCGGAATGTTTTCGACCTTAAAACAAAAGCTTAACATGAATTAGCATGAGTAATCTTTAACTGTACACAAATAGCTACACATGGGTAATAAACTAGCTAGTGCTGGAAACATGGACCACAATACCATAATAGTGTGAACTTAGTATACTTAGGACTATGATAGACTGACCAACACCTTGAAGAATAGGACACACATCAACCTTTTATGTTCTCTAAAGACAAAGATTGCTAGGACGGATTAAGAGATTTTAAAATCGGTTCTCACCCGTGGTTTGAGAGCAGTGGGCCTAGCTTTAGTCTCCTTGAGTTTAACCATAGAGTTCTCTTTCCCTCCTAGCGTCTCAGGAGCCGCAAGTAACCTGGAATCATATTATCTATAGATGAAAATCTCAACAAGAAAAAGGAGTACTCTATATTCCAACATTCTAACAGCCAGATGAGACTTGGAAACTCAGAATTTATGTCATGCACTCATGAGTTCTTAGAAGCAAGCTAATGTTCAGAATCACATCAAACACTTACACTTGTACGTATTAGGAGAAAATCACATCCGAACACTAATCTCTAAATTCACATGAAAAAGAACACTCAAAGAAGTACCATTCATAATCTGATTTGTCATTCTCAGAGTCCAAAAACTTATCAACAACGCTCCTACGCAGCTCAACACAGCTCGTTTTCAAGAGCTCTAAACTCTTTGTGCTACTCTTCTCAACACTGTTAGCTCCTGTCCACAAAATTCATCATCATGATCAAATCAAACGGCGAGTTAACACAAATCACTAAACAACTCTAAAATCACTCCCAATCAAAAACTGAATCCAAAAGCGATTCAATCTAAATCCAAATGTATATAAGAAAAGCTTCAGCTTCAATCGTAATAATTCTACTCCGCTTCTTAGATTCAGGTTCCAGGAGCTCAGAATCGGAGAAATTGAAGTCAAATTAGAAGATCCAGTAAGTAACTAACCAGATTCCGGAAGAGAAGAAACACACTGAAGCTTCTCGCGTCTTCGCATCTCCAGGAACAAAGAGAGTTCTTCATCTCCATCACGAGCCACCAACACATTCTCCATTTCTCGAATCCTCTCCTTCACTCTCAGAACGAGAATCACTTTTAGATGATCACTACGAAGAAGAGGGTAACAATGCTAGACGAAGGCGAGAAGGAGAAAGAAGAAATATACAGAGACTAATTCACGAAACTGTCACTAGTTCAGGTGCTGTTTGATTTTGTGTTCAGGGGATGTTGGTGGAGCGTTGGAGCTTAGAACTAGAAGAAAAGGGTATAGATGTAAATGACGTAGGACCTAGTCAGACTGATCCTTAAAATCTGAACCGTTGGATTTACAACGGCGACTGACTGATCGGACGTTTGTTATTTGAATAAACTGACCAATGAAAGCTGCCTCGTAGACCGTGTGAATTCAAAAAACTTCTCACTTCATTTATCGGCCCAGTAACTGCCTATTTGGATCCATTTTAACCCATTTAAAAAGCCCATATAATTTCTGATTTGACCGGTTCAGATAAATTGGAGAGGTTGGTCGATGAAACCAATCATCCACTTAAACAGAAATCAAAATTAAACAGAACTTCATATCCTAATCACACCTAGCTTGACCATTTGGAAATCAAACAATTTTTATTTAACAGCTCAGGGGAAAAAACATTAACATAAAGAGATAGAGAGACAACATCAAAACATCAATTGGCCAAAACCCACAAGAGGAGTTGAGAAAATTATCAAGACTCATCTTCATCAAGACACCCAACATCCAAAAAATATGAAATAACACTGGAATCTCTCTCTGACAAATCTTTCATAAAACGAATCAAGAATATTTGGGGTTTAATTTTTTGTTTTTCTTTTCGATGCTCCATTGTCGACGTTTGGAAATGTTGTCTCAAAAAAAACATTGGTACTTCATACTTGTCTTCATTTAAGATGAGGAAGCTCCTCCTCCTGTTCCAGTGATTCCAGTGACAAAATTGTTTATCTGTTGAAGTCCCATGTGAAAACCATTTGGTTGTTCTGAAATATACAACCATCACAATTAATTAGTGTTTTGTTTATTATCATTACTCTAGTATATAATGTATAGAAAATGTGGAAATTAACTTACTCTGAGGAAGTTTGTCAACGAAGAAACAGAAGGCAATAATGAAATAGCAAAGCAAGAGGACCAGTCCCTTCATGTAGTGTGAAGTCCCATCCTAAAGAACCAAAAAGAAAACATAACAAAAGTATTAAGAATCATCGTCCATTGATTGGTCTAATATATTTTTGTAAGGTATAAACTGAGAAATGCTTAACCTGTAATGTGAAGGCAGTGATGATAATGGAAAGAGCAAGAGAACCGGTTTCGAGGAGATTGAAGTTCAGATCCATATTAATTCCTAGAATCCACGCCACGATTATGGTCAAGGGTACGACGAATAAGCCAATCTGAGTCGCAGAGCCTAATGCAACTCCCAATGATATGTCCTGTAAAATTATTTGCATTAGACATAAGTTTATGCCTATTTGTTTTCATTGTGATGATATACAATCTTGGATTGAATAATTAGAATATAAGGGTAAGGAAAAAGAAATGGAACTCACGAGCTTGTTCTTAAAGGCAAAAATGATGGCTCCAGCGTGTTCAGCCGCATTTCCAACAATGGGAAGCAATATGATGCTTATGAAACTTACTGATAGGTTCCATGATTCCGATGCGGTCTAACCAAATATATAACAACATATTAATTAACATCTTTTTGATTAGGTCTCGTTTCTATTAGATTTCCTAAAGCATAACAAAAAGAGGTTACCTCAATGGTGGCAACAACATACTCGGATAGCAATGCGATGACTAGTGTCATCCCAACCAACCAAGCAAAACCGCTCCAAAAACTAATCACCGCGGTTTCTTCTTCTACATCGTCATCATACTCATCTTCCTGTGATACCAAGTTCCGTTTTAAAGATCCATTACAACACAATAATATTTTGACTTTGTAATGTGTGTATATATATATATATATATATATATATATATATATGTATTTAAGCTACCTGATCTTGTGCGTCGAACAATTGGCGGTGAGTCCAAAGCTGGAAAACGAGATATGCAATGTAACCGATCAACATAAAAATACTGCTGCCTCGCGACAGAGTCAGTGTCATGTCGGAAACAAGAGCAGCTGGAGTCTCTGCGGTTGCCACGTATACGAACATCAATGGGAGCAAGTGACACAACAAACCCATTAGGAGTAAGAAGAAGTTCACATCCGCTTGTTTCTGCAACAATGACCACATGTACAAATTGATTCCATTTAGCAAAAAACCACAAATAGTTAACCAATCGTTACTTATTACTCATGTCTACTACAGTAGCTTGTTTGTCTTGGTACTTAACACTAGCCATTCAAATCTAATTTATTCAATTCCCGGTTCAGTTATCTCACAGCAACTCAAAACAAATATTAAAATGGTTTTGATATAAATTTGAACCGGAGTTGAAAGAGAGGCCATACCCGGTCGAACCGCTGCTCCCTCCTGATATTAGCGATTCCGCCGCAGAGAAGTGAAGTCCCGAGAACTAAGAGAAGGTTTGACAAAATCGAACCTAACAGCGAATATTTCACCACTGCGACTTTATTATTGGTCAGTGCCAGAATCGCGATTATCAATTCAGTCGCGTTTCCACACGTTGCGTTCAATAGACCACCCACTGCAGTTCAAAAAAAGAAAAATTGAGTTTTCTATATAAAATAAGTATTAACGTTAGGAGACTGAAAAAAATAATATGAAGAATTGGTTAAGAAGACGTTACATGTTGGACCGGTGTAGAAAGCTAGTTGCCTGCACGAGATACACGAGAATGTGTGGTTAATATAAAAAGTTACCAAAACCAAAACAATAATGTCCACGTTGATAAAGATGATAAAGGTGATTCTAGATAATCACACCAATGTACTTGAATACTACTAGTAGATGATAAAGAGTTTGTACTATGCTGTCACGTTGACATATGAGTGGGATATAATTGTGTGTAGTGGTCGGTGATACCCAATCATGTATCGCCGAATCCCCAAATTAGAATATTGGTCCATGACCATTTATTTCAAAAAGAATATGCCGACACTGGACCTAACTAACGTGTTACTCATGAGTCATGATAATAACCCTTCAAATTTTTACAAATCATGGAGCAACGAAAAATTACGACAGTGAGTGGTTGGTTGGTAAGTAAGTAAAGATGTTTTTTTGAAAACGAAACTAAGGTGATCTTTCTTATCTACAGATGGATAGATACGATTCCATTTTGATCGACAGTTGGCTAAAAATTTGTCACGATTCTATGTAAGGTGAAGAATTCAAATGATAAAAATATTGCAAATGGATAGAATAAGAGATGAGGATGACTGAATACTTACTCTGTCAGAAAGCTGACTCGTTCAGCCAAAGGTGTCAGTCCTAGCATGCTCAGTCCAAATATCCACGGCTGTTTCATGATTAAACAAACCATATATTATACTATGTACAACATGTATATATATCGTGGCTCAATCACTTATATATATTAAGTGCACAATTACGTGGCAAGATACACTAACATCAATAAATTAATGATTGGAAATCTAATTCTATAGGGAGTAATGATTTTGATTAGAACATAGAAAGTAACGGATATGCAGTAATGCCATTAAAATAATAGTAATCAAAATTTAGGCGTTTCGGATTCTATTCCTAATTTGAATGATTCTCTTTATAAAAAAAACTGATATGAAATATGTATGTATACCTGACTGACGCCACAATAGGTGCAGATAATGGCGGCAGGTATGGCCGGGAAAAGAATGGCAAGCTTAGTGCCGAGGATGACTTCTTGGAGATTGGTGAGAAAATCTTTGAGACCTTTGTATGGAACCTTCTGAATCACTCGGAGGTCTGACTTCTTCCTTAGAGAAGAAGATGACATGTTGTGAGCTGTTCTTCCATGTCTTAGTTCTCTGCTCGATCCTTTTGCTGTCATGCTTGCGTTTCCGTTCTCCGCAGATGCCCACGGTTCTGTTACGATTCCAGCCATTTCACCACCACACTGACTCAAAAACTATAGATATGAGTCACAAATATTTTTTGTTGTTGTATGAACTCTCAAGAGTTTTACTTTTGCTGATTCTTCTTTTATTTGTGTGTGTGTAAAAGACTGGCGTCATGATTTGTTTATATATTACTCTCAATAGGTTTTTTTCTTTTGGGCCACCAAGGCAACTTCCTCGAAGTTTCCTCTTTGTTATTTTATATGGTTTTAAATTTTTTAATATTTGGAAGACCAAATATCAGAAATGGTATGTATAGATTTTACATAGCTATGAAATCTTTGCTTCTTAGGAAATGATTAACTAGTTGGATTAGATCAAAATTAATTTAAATATATATTTGGTTAGTAGTATTTTTATCTAGTTGCAAGTCTTGGTCTTAATTACTAGTGTTATATATTATTTATTAGGCTAGCAAATATGGAGAAGGCTAAACTTTGACTTTCATATTCAGTGACATTTTTAAAAAGGAAACATATTGTAAAGAAACAAATTTAAAAAGAAATTCAATAGTAGGAGTTTTCTAAAGCTGAATGATTAAATTACTCAAAACTTTTATTAAGCCTAGAAATTAGCAAATTAATTTATGCAAGATTTGATCAAAGCTTGCCTTGTTAACAAATTTTAGAGAGACCTACAAAATGATAAAATCACAATATACATAAAAGAAAAACAAGTATATATATATATATTGGAACAACAAATATACTATATATCTTAAACCAAAGGTACACATATAATAGATATCCATTTCAGTACCCTACTTGAAGTTCAACTGTGGAGATCATAAATACTTAAAACTCTTTTTGACCAAAGGCTTTGGTGAATTTATATGTCGACCTGTTGCGTGGATATCAAGACATGTAACAAATATATATACCCCCGGTTGGGAATTAGTGTATGAAATTCGCATAAGGCAACAAATTAGCGCCATCACCACAACACGTGCTTTGTGAGATTGTTTTTTTAGACTGTCTTAAAGGCACAAAATTGTGTCGTTATTACGAATCCGAAGTTCTCAGTTTTGCCATGTGGCTTTTAGGCTTAACGAGGAGGTAATAGCTTCATAAAAGGCATGAAGTGGCTTCTGGCTTTTGTTCGCTAGTATTTATGATGTTATAACTTTTAGCTGATGTTTTATTTCATAGTATTCATCTAACTTTAAAATGATGATTAAAACCTGACCATAGAAAAAGATGGCGTCAAATCAATTTTTTAGATCTCTGACTCAGTCTTGTGATTAAGTCATTTGAAACTATTGAGAGATTAGAACTAGAGTTTGATGCTTTCCGAAAGAGCCATCCAAGTTGTTAAAGAATGAATCATCGAGCGAGAACAAGAAAGACATAAAAACGAGATTCATTCTCAAACCATAGATTGAAGTCTTGGAGCTGATTTAGAGAATATGCGAACATGCAAGGATGTGGAGACTCAAAACTTCTTGCAACATGATCTTTTTCAACTCTGTATATTTAGATTGCCAAATTAAGAACTTATTTTTCTAACTCCCAATTATTAGCAAAGCTATCAAATCGTAGCTTGGATAATATTTTCTTTATCGTTCCAAATTATGAGGATGTACTGAAGGGACCACTTCCTAATATTTATATTTCTATATTTTGTTATATATACAGTATATATATATATATATATATAGAACCTTAGATCTAGCGATAGGGTTAATTTTGAAACTCCATTAAGCGCCAACACAGTTTGATGACTTTGCTTCAACACCCACCATCCCCAATCCGTAACCATAAATACTATGAGAGTTCGAATATTTCGAAAAAGATCTCGTCAAGAAAGCGAGACGTGTGGTAAAGTTAAACTAGTGTCTAGTGGTAGCGAAAATACTTTTGATTAAGTACAAGAAAGATGATTTCATAATTATATATTTATATGCATAACGCATCCACGTATACACTCCCATCAATTGTTCATATATATTATTCTCCTAGCTTAGTGGCCTAGAGAAACTTATACATTATAGCGCCAAAAGTCCCGGAGAACTTGTGTAATCCTCTCGTTTATTGATAACGATTGAGACGATCAAAATACGTATACATATTGAAATTATGGTCTCTAAACCATAACGTAGGTACATAAGCGGATGCTGCCGAAGAATAGAGAATTAGGGAACCCCAAGTGGGTAGAAAAAGACGTAAACACAGCCGATAAACTCATATGTCTTGTCCGAACAAAGGTACAACATTATTATTTCTGGAAAAGCCCCACAAATCTTTAGTGAATTTGGAAGTTACACTAACTTCTTGTTGTGGCTCAATCTTATATACGTATGGGCAGCAATGGACGAAAGGTGTTGGGGTCACAATAATGAATATATAGGCCAAGAAGTTTTTTTTTTTTTGTAAGTAACGTAAAAGGCCTTAGAGGAAACTTCCTGGAAGCTGCCTTCTTGATATTGCGTCTATGTACTTCTCACTTGCATGTGGAAGAGATGTTGTTATCGACCCCCTTCTTTGGATAGACAATCTACATGGTATCTTTTGTCTTTGTTTTCTAAGATTTCGAAATGTATCAAATCGCCTACTTCATTAAAGTTTACTTGTTCGAGCATCTAGCCTAGCCTAGCGGGTGGGTCCTTTAGTATGTACGGACCAAGAGACTTTATTATGTTATCATTTACAATTACACCATACCTTCTTAGAAAAAGAATCATAATCATACAATTCTCACAGTATAAATAAGTATATCTTCTCACAAAGAATCATATAATTGAGTGCGAATATAACGGCTTCACAATTATTGATGTCGTGTATCTTCATTAACTAGTGTTCCAGGGAGATAAAAATGGTAAAGGTAGCACAAGTAGCTGCAAAACACACAAGCAATATGAGTTTACATATCACATAACTCCATTCATCGTCTTTCTTGAAGAGTTTGATAGCCTGCAAAGTAGTGAAGCGTCAATCTTGTAGAAAAGCGATTTATTATGTTTTGGGGGTTCACCGGATTAGAAAACATCGAGGAAGAAAACGATAAGATGATGACCACCATTAAGATGTCGTGGTTTGGTTTGATCAAAATATAATATAACTTTTAAACCTAACATATGGAGCGGTTGAACCACTCCAGTATGAAAAGCATGAAAACTTTTGTCACAAAGCCTGTTATATTACCACATATTGAGAAACGCATTACGGCATTACCGGTACTAGAGGTAAGTACCACCAATTTCCCAAGTACTGTATTTGTATTGCTAAAATTTAGTATGTCTAGAATCAACTTACTACTCTCATGTTTGAGTGCATCACTAAACACCATTTCATATCACCAGAACCTCTTTGATTATTAAAAAAAAAAAAAAAAAAAAAAAGGCTGGGAGAAAGAAACATTTATTTTGTTTATGTATAGAGCGATTTCTATAAATGTTTCAAAAGTATTTGTTTACTTTACTATTACAACTTAGACTGTACTGATTATTATATACATATTGACTGGGAGGGAGGAATTGATTCTTCGATTAATTTAAGAATAATATTATTAGAGAGGAATATTTTTGGTCTGATGTGTTAACCTTTTTCAATAGTGCGATCTGACTATCACTAACGCATAAACCCTTTTTTGCATGGCCTTATCAATTTTATTTTAATCGAAAGTGAGAGACGAAGAAGAAGAAGAAGAAGCCATGGTTGGACCAAGTAGACCTCAAATCGTCCTATTCGGTTCTTCAATTGTTCAATATAGCTTCAGCGATGGTGGTTGGGGTGCTACACTCGCTGATATCTACTCTCGTACGGTTTGTAACTTGCCCCTTCGAATTCCCAAAGTTTTACCCTTTTTTCCCAATTCCTGTGTAATTTCGACTTTGTGGTTCTCGAATTTGGCGTCAGGGTCTAACAATAATCTGTGTACTGCTAATTGGTATTACCCTTTTGATGTTCGCAAGTGAACAACTGTTTCAGTGTAACCAAAAGCTAATGATTTGAGGATAAAGTTCGTGCCTTTATGTGTGTGTATGTGTGTTTTGATTGCATATCCACAGGCTGATATCATTGTTCGTGGTTATGCTGGTTGGAACTCTAGGTTTGCTTTGAAGGTCTTAGACCAAGTCTTCCCAAAGGTACATTCTCTCTTCTTATTGATCTCTGTAGTGGAACTGACACTCTTCTAGTCAGTCAGTCTTATGTATCATCATTACTGATTGAGATCTCCCATAGTTTTACTGAGTGAAAGGTTTGGCTTTTCTTGATCACCTCTGTTTTTTTTTTTTGGTTTTGTACTGTTAGGATGCTGTAATACAACCTTCATTGGTGATAGTCTATTTCGGTGGGAATGATTCAATGGAACCTCATCTATCAGGCTATGGTCCTCATGTTCCTCTATCTGAATTCATTGATAACATGAGGAAAATTGGAGAACATCTTTTGGTAATGATGCCTTTCAAAGTTTCAAACTTTTACATGTTAGAAGTTACATGATTCTTTTGTTATCTGAAAGGTTTTATCTTTACTTGCTAACTCTTGATATCTTCTTATTCCTCTTCTTACCAGGGACTTTCGGACAAGACCCGCGTCATTTATCTTGCTCCGCCGCCAATGAATGAGAAACAGATCCAGCTAGTTTTTGGGTACATACATGTCTTACTGAACGGGACTCTTTTACTACTATTATCTTTTGGATGTTTTGATCATTAGCGTTGTGTAACTCCTGTCTCAGGGATGCAATAAAAGGCCGGAGTAACGAGCTGTGTCGTCCATATGCAGAAGCGTTGTTAAATCTATGCAGAGAGATCAATGTGAAAGGTGTCGATATGTGGACTGCGATACAACAGGAAGATGATTGGTTGAACAGCTGCTTCACGTGAGCTACTAAACCTTCATGATACAATAATTCTGAAATGATTCTAGATTAAACTTACTTCTTGGCTTGTTTTACTTGGTAGAGATGGGATCCATTTCACACCGAAGGCAAGCGAGATAGTCGTGAAGGAGATTTTGAAGGTAGTGAGAGAAGCGGATTGGAAACCAAGTCTTCACTGGAAGTCATTACCGGTTGAGTTTCCATTTGATTTTGGTATTCCAAACTCCATGTCCCTGTCTGACCTGGAATTAACCAGAAACCAGCAGTACGAGCCAGAGCCGGTAAGCCTTTGTGACCAAGAGTTAACCAGAAACGAGCAGTTGGAGCCACCATCGCCTACCGCCCGATTGTAGATTATGCTTCTATATTGACATCTTGATGGTGTTACCAATTTCACCCTTTATTTTGCATCTGAATATTCATATTGCTAATTTAACATTTGGTTAGAAGCTTTGTTAAATTCTCACTAGTGTGTTCCAAAAATACAAAACAAAAAGCATTCAAATCTAAAAACTCTGTTTTCGTTCCTTGAACAATGATGGTGGTCGCTCACTAAGCCATTCTTTTCAAAAACCTTAAGACTATCCATGCAAATTCACAAATGTGAGTGTTAAGAGTACTTTTAATTTAGGTGTGAAATTTCATAGAGAGATCTATCACGAAAGTATAAGAGAAATTGTATGCTAAAGGAGGATCTTTTTTTCAAGAAAACAAGTAAAATAGTGTATCTCTCGATTCGACAAGTTATTATTCATAAACGAGTTCACATGTTCCTCGCTCTACTTTGCAGGTTGTTCAAGACAATTATTGCAAATGCACAAGTATGTCTGTTACTTACATAATTATGATGATAAAATCATAGTTAAACCTTAATTAATTCCTTAGAATCTAACAAAGAGGGATTAATAAGTTGCACTAAACCTCTCTCAACATTTTATGTTTATTTAATTACCAATCTAGTTAAGCTTCACCGAAAGGATAAAATACGTATTCTCTAAAAGAAACTTCTAAAAATTTATAACACACGACAATAACATAACCCGAAAACGACAAAACATATGAAGAATATATGTCGTTTTAATTGTATACTTACATAAATACCCTCAACTTTTGTTTAATATTACGGTTCTCAAAGTAGTCAAAGTTTATATAACACTATCGTTATCTCCCTACAACTACCGTCGGTACAACGCCGGAGTAGAAAAAAGACCAAGACTCGCCGGTAGACCACTTTCAAACAATAACCGTTACAATAATAAACTTGCCCATTCATCCATGGATTCACTTTATCACAGTTATCAGGTTTCCTAAATAATTTTAATCCTTTAAATCTCTTGGGTTCCTTCAATTCTCAGTTCTCACCTTTTCCTTGACTCAATCTTCTTGTCTAGATTCACCGAAATGGATTCAGCTCTCCTTGCATCATCGCCGGACCTTGAATCACCTCCTCCGGTGTTGATTTCAACCTCGTCTTCTTCTAATAACGTCGAAAGAGCTGATGGTGCTCATCATGGTGTCTTCAATTGGAGAGAATTTTTCTACTCCTCCTGTCGGAACGTTTCAGAGTCAAACGTGATCTGCTTCCTCCTGGGTCTTTATCTCTTGTCCTTTGGTTTGTTTCTCAACTTAAAAGAAATCAACTTTACGATTTTTTTGATTTGGTCTTTGATTTTGAAAAGTTTTTGTCTTTCGTTTTTGGCTATATGAATCTTGGACTAATTCTGGATTGACTCACTCACAGCGTTGTTTATTCTGATTGAGACTACTTACGCACCAAAGAATGTCTGGCTTGGACCCAATTCGTCCATTCTTGTCGAATCAAGCTCCATTTTTGTCAACAGCATTAAGGTTGTCTGTTTTTTTCTTCTTCTTGTGTTTCTGTTTATCAAAGCTGTGCCTAGTTTATTGAAAATGTATTTGTATCTTGTTAGGTGACGGAGCTGGATTATTCTAATCCAGGGCTTCAGCTATATGGATTCTACGGGTCCCCTCCCCTGGATTGTGTTGTAAACTGGTCAGAATCTCGAGTGTTACCTGTCCCACATCATTCTAACAAGGCATGTTTAAGATTCTCACTATTGTTTTCATTAAAACGTTATTTGGTCAGGGTTGTCATTGAATTCTCTTTTAGACAATTTATTGAACTGATTTCATTTGTCTCAGGGTTGGTCATACTACTTTAACCAAGGGACTTTTATGAATATATCATATAGGGTAAAACCACAAGGTTCTGCTGTTCACCTTGTGGTCGATGAAGGTTAGTATATACATATCTGTAGTTTTGTCATTGAGGCTTTTAAATTCATGAACACTAAAGAGAAAAACCAATAACTTTCCTAAACCCATTTCCCGCGTTGTTTTCTCGCAATCAAGACTTCGTTCGTATATGCTATCTACTAAAAATGTAAAGCAAAACCCAACTAAGAATGGAAAATAACTTTATGAAATATGAATATAATAAGAGGATATAGAAGACTTACTGTGGATGAGTGTTTTTTTAAGTGTTGCCTTTTAGGGTCCCTAAACTGAATATGTGAGGGTTCTCAATTTTTAGGAAGTCGAGGCATCAGTAATTCGTTTTGGGACGCCCCTACATACCATAACAAATTTTGGTGGTCGAACCTAATTGAGGGTTAGTCAAATGAAAGTTCCAACTTAAAATGCATTGTATTATAATAATGATTACCATGAGTTAATAAATGTTCTTTGCAGGGAGTGGTATGGTTGAATTGGAGATAAGTAAGTCTTCAAGTTATTACCTTGCTGTCGCTAACTTGAATAATATGAGGGAGGTAGAGGTAATAATTACTGATCAAGTAGTGACTTTGGATTAAGTTTTGTTTTTCCCACTGTTTTACTTGACCTGATGTTTGTTCAGGTGGAACTGACTATTGATGTGAGGGCTGCCTTGTATGATACCAAACAATCACTCTACAACTGTACCTTCAGCAATGGCGAGTGCACATTGAAACTCAATGCACTGTCCCCTGTTGGAAATTCGGTTGTCATAACTTCACCAGCACCGGGTCATCAGGTATGTATCTGTAATACGAAACACCAACAAAATTATTATTATTTATTAGTATGAATCTTAGCTGAATGAATGTTCGTCTCACTCCCCCTGCCTTTGTGCTTAGGGAGTATCCATCGAAGATGAATGGTATATCAGGTTATCATATGAACCTAATGTGATTGGATATGTAATCTTCACAGGTAAACATTTTGAGCATTGGTTAGTTTCTCTTTGAAAAGAATTTGAAGCAGTTACAGGTAATATTATTGCAAATGCAGGTTTGGGGATTAGCTTCATGCTGGTAGCTATACGATTCTGCAACAGGTTACAATGCGGTGGTGAAGTGAGACATCTAACCGAGAATGTTTCAAGTGATGATTCTTTCACAAACGATGATGCTGATTTAGAAGAGTTGATGGGAAGTAATGGTGAAACAAGTAACCGAACCAGATGTCTCTGTGCCATCTGTTTTGATACTCCAAGAGATTGCTTTTTCCTCCCATGTGGCCATTGCGTCTCCTGTTATCAATGCGGAACAAAGTAAGTTTTTGACCACGAATATGTCTAATATACAACCGGACATATCAAGACTACTTGATTGCAAAATCATATTGCTAATATGTTTACTGTATTGGGACTGATCTGAAAATAGTAAACCTTATGAATTTTCAATATGTGCAGGATGGCTGAAGCTGCTGGGAGCTGTCCAATATGTCGAAGGAAAATGAAGAAAGTGAAGCGAATCTATACAGTGTAAAATGAATGAATGTAGCTTTCTAACATAAATGTTGAATCTATAGAGCATTAATAAAATATTTATCATTTAATATTGGAAAAAAAAACCCAAAAACAAACCCTTTTTTTCTTCTCTATTGACATCTTGATGGTGTTGCCTGCCCAGTTTCACCCTTTATTTGCATCTGGATATTCATGTTGCTATGTAACATTTGGTTACAAGCTTTGTTATGTATTAATATTTATTAGGATTAGGACTAATGATGACTGCTGAGGATGTCTTATTGAGCATGTGTTTCTTACTTCAATTCTACCTGAGCAGGAATGTTTTGATGTTTACCACTGTTTTGTTCTGCTGTAGATCAGTATGGGATGAGATTGGTGAAAGCTACAATGACAGGGATAAGATGCTGCTAGAACTAGAGTAGGACTGTCTGGATATATACAACAAAAAGGTTGAGAAAACTCGCAAGTACAGAGCTGAGTTGCAGCGATCGTTAGCTCAAGCTGAAGCTAATTGATATGCTTGCTTGTTGGTTTAAAACAAAGAAAAACCTAATGATACTAATGATTGCTGAATACTGATGTGAGGGCTGTCTTGTATGATACTAAACAATCATTATACAACAATACCTTCAGCAGTGGTGAGTGCACATTCAAACTCAATGAAATGTCCTTTGTTGGAAGTTTTGTTGTCGTAGCTTCACCAGCATTATGTCAAGTATGTACTCGTAATACGAAACACCCAAAAAATTGTGATTGTTATGATGATTGTTATTATTATGACTCTAAGATGAATGAATGTTTGTCTCCCTGCCCCTACCTCTGCGCTTAGGGAGTGTCCATCGAAGATAAGTGGTACATCAGAATTTCATATCAACATAGATGGATTGTATATTTAATTTGCAGAGAAAGCAGATGATGGTTCGTGTAATGAAACTGTCACAAACGATGATGCTGATTTGGAAGAGTCAATAGGAAATGATGGGGAAGCACGTAACAGAAGAATCTCTCTCTGTGCCATTTCTTATGATGTTCCAAGAGATTGTTTTTCGACCCGTGTGGTCATTGCGCAACAAAGTAATTAAGTTTCTTTCCTAGTTTAATAACAAAATTTTCTAAAATCTCTAGTCTCTATCATATATTATACCAAAAAAGGAAGAACATTCTCTAAATAAGAGCAAGATTATCAATGGTATCTAACATTTTAATCTTAGAGTTAGTTTAATAATAAATTTGAAAAAGTAAGAGTTAAGAGTTGTATTTGTGTTTTTAGTTTTGAGACATCTTTATTGGTAGTATCTTAGGTTAAGGATCTTAGGAAAAGAAAAATTATATAAAAATTAAATTAAATTAAAATTTATAATTTGAAACAACTTTATAATTATTGAAAAATTTTAAATTTAAAACATACATAAGATAAAATTAAGGAAAGAAAGAAAGAAGAGAAAATTAAGAAAAATTAAGAAAAATTATTTTATATGGTTCCTTTATATGGGCACTTATCCTAGAGAATTTTTGATGAATGTTCCTTTTAGTGTATCACTTTTTGAAAATACTCTTCTTTTCTATCCATTTTTAAAAATACCCCTTTTCAAATATGAAAAATTATAAACTTTTATATGGTTGATAAGGTACATCAAGATCATCATTACTACGGGAAGACTAAATCCAAATTATTATAAGGTTTTAAAAGGTTCTAAACGACATTTATAAGGTTTTACAAGGTTTTTAAAAGGTTTACAAAGTTTTTATAAGGTTTTTAAATAATTTTTAAAAGGTTTTTAAAATGTATTTATGCGGTATTTTAAATTTACACATATATAAAGATAATTTGTTTCTATAAATATAAATTTCAAATTTTATAGTGACTTTTTAATAAAATTAGAAATAAATATATATATTTATCCTACTACCCAATAGAATCATGCCACGTGTACGTTTCTTAGCACACTATTTAGATCTTAAATAAGATAGTTTTTTAGTCATTTTGATGTATTTTTAATTTAATTAAATCACAAATAATCCTAAAAATTGTCTAAGATCTTGCCTATAATGTTGGTCTAAGTGAGCTTCCACGTCAAGAAGCTAAACATCTCTATACATTTTACATAGAGAGAAACAAATATTGTGGTCAAAGTTTCCACATAGTTTCTCTACTCTATACTCACCTCCCATCATAATCCCCAAACTCTTTCATCTGCGAACCGTCCGATTCACTTACTTTGACTATCTTCTCTCAATCGGACCACTCACAATCCACTAACAAATTTTAAATTACGTCCTCTCTCTTAACCATATATAATCTCACTCCTCTCTCTGGTACACAACACTCTCTCAAGTCAAAACCCTAAATGGTATGTTTTTAATTATTTAAACAAAATTACAGAAATACTCTCAATATTTGTAATCTATTCAAAAGAGTCGCCCAGTCTCATCTTTACCGTTCAAACGACTAAGATAAAAAAAGTTGAAGACTCACAAGATGATTAGGCGTTACATAAATTAATCAGATTGCCTTATCCCTTATGAATACACTTCCTCTACACCCTATAAATTCCTTGGGTTCTCCTCAATCCTAATTCTCACCTCACCCTTTTCATCAACTCCTTTAACTCTTTTTCACTCACTCTCTCTCTCTCTCTCTCTCTCTCTCTCTCTCTCTCTCTCTCTCTCTCTCTCTCTCTCTTTCTCTGAGGATCACCGAGATGGACGTTCGTATGCAAATGCCACATCGCTTGTATCGATCTGGTGACCTCGAAGAACAAATCACCTTCATGCCGTGGTTTTGCTACGCCTTCGTTTTTCTCTTCTTATTCTTCGGTTGGGTTTCTCAACTTTTTAGTTCTGGTTTGACTTCGAAAGCTTTTTTTTTTTTTTTGCGTATGAATCTGACTAATTTCTCGATGACTACTCACAGGCTCGGTTATTATGACTCAGTCTGTTTATTCAGCAGAAAATGTCTGGCTTGGACCCAATTCATCCATTCTCGTTGACCCAAGTTCTGTGTTTGTCGAAAGCATTAAGGTTTGGTTCCCTTATCTCCTTCTTTTGCTTATGTTTATTAAAGGGATGTGCTTTATTTATTGAAATGTTGTTGTTAGGTCAAGGAGATGGATTATTCGAAATCAGGGCTTCAGCTGTATGGGTTCTATGGATCCCCCCCTCAGCTGAACCGTTTTGTAAACTGGTCAGAATCCCGAGTACTACCTGTCTCACAGGATTCTTCTTTCAAGGCATGTTTAACTTCATTAGGAACTTCATTGTATATTCTTACAAGCCATTGTTTTTTCTCTCTCTCTTGGTGTTCTTGTCATTAGGAAAATTGAAATAAATGATTCAATCTTCACCTATTTGTAGTCAGGATTTATTTGTCATTGAATTCTCAATTTTATTGAACTAAATTTCTTGCATTTGTATCAGGCTTGGCAATACTACTTTAATGAAGGGACCCTTTTGAACATCACATACAAAGTTGAACCACTGGGTTCTGCGGTTCAGCTTATGGTCGATGAAGGTTAGTAAAATATTATAGTTTATTTTCATATATATGCTCCTTGATATGGTATGCATGTTGGTTTAAAACAAAGAAACCTAAAAGCTCTTCGTGATTGATGGAAACACGTAACCGTTAAACCGGTGAGAAATTAAAACTTTTTACTTAATCTCGTTTCCCGCATTGTTTTCTCACAACCGAGACTTCATTCCTCTATATATAGTATATATACAAAAATGTAAACCAAAATCCAACTAGAAAAGGAAAAGAACTTTTAATAACCTAAGAGGAGATATAGAGGATATAGAAGTATGTGAGTGAATTTTTCTATTTGTAAGTGTTGCCTTTATGAGATATATACTGATAATGTCAAGGCTCTTGATTCAAAGGAACGCGAGACGACTCTTATTTGCCGCCCATGTCTTGGAATCTCATTCAAGGTTAGTCAAATGGAAGTTCCTACTTAAAATTCCTTGTGTTACAATGATTACGGTGAGTTAATATTAGTCTTTTACAGGGAGTGGCATGATTCAATTGGAGATAAGTAAGTCTTCAAGTTATCATCTTACTTTAACAAACTTGAAGAGGAAAGACGTAAAGGTAATGATTAATTATCCAAGTAATGACTTTGGATTCAGTTTTGGTGTCTGCACCAACCATTGTTTTACTTGACTTGATGTTTGTTCAGGTGGAACTGAATACTGATGTGAGGGCTGTCTTGTATGATACTAAACAATCATTCTACAACTGTACCTTCGGCAGTGGCGAGTGCACATTCAAACTCTATGCAATGTCCCTTGTTGGAAGTTCTGTTGTCGTAGCTTCACCAACACTAAGTCAAGTATGTACTCATAATACGAAACACCAAAAAGTTATGATTATTATTATTGTGACTCTTAGCTGAATGAATGTTTGTCTCACTGCCACTGCGCTTAGGGAGCGTCCATCGAAGATGAGTGGTTCATCAAAATCTCATATCAACATAGATGGATTACATATGTAATTTGCATAGGTAAACGTTTCAATCGTTTCAAAGTCAATTCATAAATAGATTTGAGCATTGGTTAGTTTCTTTCTCTTCCAAAACAAATTTGGGGATCAATTTCATATAATATAATTGCAAATGCAGGTCTGGCGGTTTGCTTCACGCTTTTAGCTACACAAGTCTGCAGTGGAGAGGGACCTCTAACCGAAAATGATTCAGCGAGGACATGTCTACTTGCAGAGAAAGCTGACGATGGTTCGTGTAATGAAACTGTCACAAACGATGATGCTGATTTGGAAGAGTCAATAGGAAATGTTGAGGAAGCACGTCAGAGAAGCATGTCTCTCTCTGATATTCCCAGAGTTTTCGACCCGTCTGATTATTGCTTCTCATGTGTTTTTTGCGGAATAATGTAAGTTTTTTTTTATCTACTATATATTGTAATGTTATATGTATGTCTACTATATTGGGGATTGGTCTAAAATATCAAAACGTAATTGTGATATGGCAAAATTTGCAGGCTAGACAGAGCTTGTGAGAGATGTCCAATGTGTGGAAGGAGGATGAAGACACTGAAGCGAACCGAAACTGCTTAAAGATGTGTATCCCTATAACTCTCGAGATATAAATTGAAACCATAATAATAAAATTACCATTTCATATTGACAAGCCTCACTTCTTTCTCTCCATTATTTATAATTCGTTTCATCTTTGACCATCTTTTTGATATCACCATGTGTTAACCACCATGGCATGGCACTATAGCTGGGTTGCCATATGGAATCGAAACACCACTAGTATTTTTGTCTTAGCGTTGTCGCTCATTCATTTTTACGATCTCTAAAATCCAAATATAGTACTAGTTCTTCAATTAAGGTTCTCGAGATATTATTACAAGATTCATGATTTTTTTCTAAAACATTTCCCTGATGAAATAACTTCTGATTCAATTATTTTTTATATAATAATTTATGATTGTAGGTTATTTCATTAATACAAGATAATTAAAGAAAAAATAGTTGCCCTTGAATATTATTAATACAAAATATTCTAAAATTTCTAGTCTTTATCATATATTATTATACCAAAAAAAAGGAAGAACACTATCTAAATCAGTGGTTCTTATACACGAACATTATAGGGAAGTGAGCTTCCACGTCAACAAGATAAACATCTCTTTGGGACTATACAAATTACACAGAGAAACAAATCTTGTGGTCAAAGTTTCCATGCATAGCTTCTTCCCTCTACGCTCACCTCCACCGCAATCCCCAAACTCCTTCAACTACAAGCCGTTCGATTAACTTACTTTGACAATCTTCTCTCAATCCAACAGCTCACAATCCACTAACAAATTTCAAATCACGACTCTCACTCTCTCCATATATAATCCGACTCCTCCTCTGCTACACAACACACTACTCTCAAAACCCTAAATGGCAGGAACAGGAGTTGTGGCGGTGTACGGCGAAGGAGCCATGACGGAGACGGCGAAGAAGACATCTCCCTTCTCCGTCAAGGTCGGCCTCGCTCAGATGCTCCGAGGCGGTGTAATCATGGACGTCGTCAACGCTGACCAAGCTCGCATCGCTGAAGAAGCAGGCGCCTGCGCCGTCATGGCTCTCGAGCGTGTTCCCGCCGATATCAGAGCTCAAGGCGGCGTTGCTCGGATGAGCGACCCGGAGATGATCAAGGAGATTAAAAAGGCGGTTACGATTCCGGTGATGGCCAAGGCTAGAATCGGCCATTTCGTCGAAGCTCAGATCCTTGAAGCAATCGGAGTTGATTACGTCGACGAGAGCGAAGTCCTCACTCTCGCCGACGAAGACAATCACATCAACAAGCATAACTTCAAAATCCCTTTTGTTTGTGGATGTAGGAACCTCGGCGAAGCCTTACGGCGGATCCGTGAAGGAGCCGCCATGATTAGAACCAAAGGCGAGGCTGGGACTGGGAACGTCATTGAAGCCGTTAGGCATGTGAGGAGTGTGAACGGAGCTATTCGTTTGCTTCGTAGCATGGACGACGACGAGGTTTTCACTTTCGCTAAAAAGATAGCTGCGCCGTATGATTTGGTTATGCAGACGAAGCAGCTCGGGAGGTTGCCGGTGGTTCAGTTCGCTGCCGGAGGAGTGGCGACGCCGGCGGACGCGGCGCTGATGATGCAGCTGGGGTGTGATGGAGTGTTTGTCGGGTCGGGTGTTTTCAAGAGTGGGGATCCGGTGAAGAGGGCTAAGGCGATTGTTCAGGCGGTTACGAATTATAGTGACGCGGCAGTGCTGGCGGAGGTTAGCTGTGGGTTGGGTGAAGCTATGGTTGGTCTTAATTTGGATGATAAGGTTGAGAGGTTCGCTAGCCGCTCTGAATAAACCAATCACATTTTCACATGTTTTTGTTTTATTTATAAAAAGGTTTATGGAAATTGAAATATTTATGTTTGGGTGTCTAATTTTCATGAGATTAAACTTTATGACAACTTTAATATGTATTGTTTGGCTTTTGTAAGAATTTTTATACTTTTTTCTTGGTCAAGAAACTTTATTAGGATCAAAAAAAAAAAAAAAGGAAACTCAAGTTAAATCATAGTAAAAAACTGATGTAACATAGATAAAGAGCCACGAAGATGCATTAAGGCAGCGTTTCAGCCACATATAATAACGTATGAACTTTTGGCATCGTTGGGGTTGGCATAAACGGGTGAAGAGTCACGCTTGTCATGTTTGATTGGAGACGTTTGGGTCTTTCATTAGTGGACTACTTGCTATTCATTTTAGGATTTTAGTGGACAATTTGGCATAGCAGAATCTATCATCATCTATTGTCTATAGTGATTGGAAATTTTTTGATACCATTCTTTAAATTTTGCTTACAATTTTTTGGGATTTTAATTAATATTTGATGATGGAGAGACTAAAGTGTCTAAATCCGAAAACAAAATCACGTCTATCTAGCAAACAAACATCATAAGACAAGCCTGATTAGTTTGCTAAACACTTCTTTTTTATTTAACACTCGATCAAAACCCACAAACTTGAAGAATCTATACAAAAGAGAGCTATGTCATATTAATTTTTATTACTTTTGGTGAGGTTGAATTTTATTTGCTAAAAAATAACATTTTCATAGATTTTCAGAGGTTGCTATCTTGACATTAACGTTTTGATCTTGGAGAAGTGGTTTAAACCGGTTTAATATGCATTTGGAAATCTACTATGAAATAGGTTTTCTGATGCGGTCTCATCATCATTAGGCTGTACTAATAGAACATTGCAATCCCTAGATTTCAGAGCGTAGAGAACCCTGATTAATTCCTTGTCTTTTGGGAGGGTTTTTGTGATTACCATTAAATTATTTGGTTCATGAGAGTTTGAGAACCTAGGGACCGACTTTAGTGTTATATTATAGCCACATTGACCGGTTTTCAAACCCATTACGGTTAGTAAAATCAGTCTATTAGAAAGAAAATAATAACATGAGAGAATTTGAATTTTTTTGATACATCTTATTTAAATATTCCTTTCTTATATATAGTGTAAATGTACGGTTTATTACATATTATTTTGGTAACGGCTGTATATACCAAGTACATGCAAATAGGATAATAACACATTTTACATGGGTTGTATATAATAAGTAATCATCTACTTGATAACAGTGCGTCCACTTGGTTCTTTCCGGAAGGACCTTTTTGCCTAATGAGAAGACGGTATTCGTCGAACCTGATCGGTTTGTAAAGAGCGGGTCGGCTTTCGGTTAATAGTTCTTGGACTGGTCCAATCGGGATATCACATCTTGGGTTGTAGAAGAATGCCAAAGAGACTCGCTCCATACCGGGATTAACGATCACCTGATGCTCCACGCTTTTGTAAATTCCATTGCTAAGTATCTACAAGTTGACCGACATTATTATTGTTTAGTATTCGTATCTGATTCCGTTTCAAGATATTAGATGAACCATCCCATAATACTAAGGCAAGATTATATCACTTTTGCCAAAATAGTTAAATACTAAAAAGGATCGTCATATATGCACTAGTATTTATAATTTTTAAATTTTAAAAATACTTAAAAGACCACCTATATGATACAATCAAACATTTGGAGGCTCTAAAAATCGAATAGTTTTCTTTATGTAAAAAAACAACAAAAAACTCGAAAACCATAAAATAGTAGTTTTAGGCAAGGAAGAAGAAAAAAAGAACACAACATAACAAAGCAGAACAAATAAGACTTTTCAATAAAATACTTTATAAGCGAGACAACTAAAATCCAAGTAATAAACAATACCTGAATCTGATCTCCCATGTTAACGACCAAAGCATTGGGGACTGATTTAACGGTGACCCAGCCATCACCACGACGGACCTGGAGGCCAGCGACTTTCTCGTCCGGGAAGAGAATGGTGATGCCACCAGGGTCAGAATGGGAAGAGAGACCTAGCGTGAGATGTGGCTGAGGACATTTTGGGTAGTAGTTTGTCCTCAGAGAAGCACCGACCTTGTCTTCTCCTCCAAAGGCCTTCATGAGACGATTTGGTTCTAAACCTAAACTCTCTGAGAGCGTCTCTACCAGCCTCTCGCACAGTTTTCTCACTTCTTCTCCGTACTCTTCGATCAATTCTCTGCATATTGGTAAAAATTATGAACTAACCATCAGTAAATCTCTACATGTAGGTTATAAGTAAAAACACTGTATTTACATAATGCTTTCTTTTTTATTCGATCGGTCAATTACGTTATTTTATACGCAATATGTAGAAAAGTCATGTTTCACGTGGGTGATTACGACCACATGTAACGTGTTCACACATGAGATACACGTGCCTAAATAAACATTTAGACCAAACTGCCATGTGTGTACGTTTATGCAAGCTGTACTTGCTCATAATTCAGATGTATAAGTCAGATGTGTTTGAACACCCTCAAAATAAAAACACACACAAGCAACGTGTCCCCATGCAAAACATTCAGTTAAGGGTTTCGTTATAAACTATATACACACACAGGATTTACATGTATATATATATCTACGAAACCTAATTAAACCATATACATATAGACATAGAAAACAAAAATAACAAAGAAAAATCAGACCACAGACGTTTATATAATCACATAAATTACACGACGGTAAAAATAAATGCATGCATGTACCTGATCTTAGGAGGCTGAGATGGCCACTTGGAGGGGTTTCTTATGGAAGAAGGCAAGTAATTAAGGAAGAAGTAATCACTCCAATCTAATTTAGCACCTTTCACAACACCAAGGCGGCTTCCATAACCTTCATACGTGTCCGGTGAGTTTGCGTACTTCCGTTTCTCGTCTAGCGGTAGCTCGAAGAACTCTCGCCACGCTGCTCTCACTTTGTCCATCAGCGCGTGGTCCACACCGTGGTTCACCATTTGGAAGAAACCCCACTCCTCACAAGCGCTCCTCACGAGCCTCAGCCCCTCTGGCTTCCCCCACACGTTGGACATATCCAGCACGGGGATTTCTATCTCAGCATCGGGTTGGGAGGAGTTCAGGACCGGTCTCTGGTGAAAAGGTTTCACATACCGGCTTGGTACAGTTGTTACGCCGGTTTGGGACAAGGCTTGCACGGAAACAATCGGCTCAGGCCAGTATGCAGCCATTTTATGTGAATTGTTTTGGAATTCAGATAAGAAGATATATATACTCAAGAAGCTAGCTAGAGAGATAAAGGAAGTATGAAAGTTTTAGATGGTGGAAGAAGCAAAGACGAGTGGGATATAAATAGGGAAAATGTTTTAACAAAATGAAACGTGAAACAATTAATGGTGCGATATTCTTTTATTCCAGCCATTTTTTTCTCTATTGAATTTTGAGGTCGACTTAGTAAAATTTGCATGCTAAGCTAAGTTTTGGATGATAAACATAATAAGACACGTTTTTAAAAGAGTTGTGGATTAGATATGTCGACAATATTGCTTTCTCGTGTCTTCAATGACTTTTAAGTGAAACGAGATGACGAAATAATTTCGGCGCCGTGTGCCGGTGTGCAACACAAATATAAAATACAATACAATTATATTTGTCTTTATTAAAAAATTATTGTACAAGTGTTTATGTAAAAAAATACTTTATAGTATATATATGCTATTAATAATTAAATTTTGATCGACAATAAGTTGTAGATTGATAAGACTTAAATTTAAATATACCTAATCAAAAACAGATTTATCGGTGGAGGTCATTCCAACATTTGGAACACCATCACATAGAATGCCAACATTGGACAAAAACAGCCAACCCATAGTGTGATTGTTTCATGATTATCATGTATGTGATTCATATATTTTAAATTAAAGTAGTTTTGATTGGTAAACCAGAAAAGAAAATAGAAAAAGAAAACATATTCCAAATTTTTTTCCGATAAAAGCTTGATTATAGTGGTTGAACGTCTTTTTTTTTTACTGTTGTAAAATAGTTGAATGATCATTGAAAGCGGAACCATATTAGATGAATGAAATTTCCAAAAATAATCATGAAACACTCAAATTTATGTAATTGACAAATTATGTTTTTAGTTATATTTCTAACAAATCTTTAAGAAAAATAGAAAAATAGAATTACGTTTTAAAAATGTGACAATTAAACACTGATATATATATATATATATATATACCATTTTGTTAATCTAACTCTTCTGGATTTACAAAAACATTTTCCGTAGACTATATCATTATACTTTAGTATATGATTGATAAACACATCTATGATAATAATAATAATCGAGAAAAACATTGCAAAACTCAATTGTTGTACGTGTAGGTAGACCATCCGTATCAATGTCTATGTGGAAATTCGAAAGAATCAATCTGCCTTCGTAGTTGATCGGATGAGCTTGTTTTCGTAATATTGACTGTAACATATATAAAACTTTTGACATTGTGAATAACAAATCTCAAAGTGCATGCTCTTGAGAGCGCAGCCACACTTGGAAAGTATTAAACCTCTTTTTTTGATCAATATAAGTTGCATTTCTTTTTTAAAGGAAATTTTAAACACTTCCTCAACCATATCTTTCAGTTGTCGGACAAATTTTTCTCGTTCAGTGGAATATTATTTGATAATAATAACGGGGGACCATGTACTAAAGAATACGCAATGCATATTTATGCTTATGCATCACATGTTTTAATTAATATCGACTGGATATTTTGTTGTTTACGGGTCAAATCGAATAGCTGAATTTTTATTTTATTAAAGAGTTACAAATTGGTTGAATCATGATCAATGCTACAATGTTAATTGTTAATTCTTACTTCATATATCAATCAAGACCATAATTATTTTAGTTCCCCCCCCCCCCCACCCCAAAAAAAGACTAATTATTTTAGTTGACAAAAATGTATAGTACTAGATGAAATACTACACTATAGTTTTGTTGCCACCTAAAAAGTACTATATAAGTATGGCGAGAAATTAGATATAAAAAAATAAAATTACATATTAAAATACATCAAAAAATTGGTTTAGAATATGTTAATACAAATAGAAAATCGTGTTACATATTTATTGTCCAAAACATATATGTTGGATATTCACCTACTTTCATATATATATATTGTTGTGTTGAATATTGTGATTTGTGAACGTAGATGACTTGATAAGTATGAGAAAAATAACAAAAAGAAAAAACAATGAACATGGTCGTTGATTGTATTTGATGACAACAATAACGTTGCCAAAAAAGTAGTAATGAAGAAAAAACAATTGTTACATGTTGTGGGCTACGGTATGTGATGCATTCATTTATTACGGCTACCAAACACACATGCGAATAAACACACTATTGTATTGATAAACTGTCTACAATTTGCAATATAATCGCAAATCACAAAATTATTAGGGAAATCTTCTTTCTGTATTTGAAGTTTTATTAATTTCAGTGGTATCTAAATCCGTCTTACAACAACAAAAATATACAATTTATCGTCCATAAAGATTTACTTCAAAATGGCTAAGCTTTTTTTGTAACACAATTATGTAAAAAAAGTTTGCTACATACATAACAACATGATCATGCCAAAGTAATTCTTCCAAGCGACTCAAAATGGCAAATTGTAGTATCACTCAGAATCAGATACGTCGTGACGAATAGGCCCAAATGTGTAGAATGGATTTGGGCTGCATGCCCACACTTAACAAAACTTAGTTGATATCAGTTTGGCATGTTCATGCTTTTGAAAAAATTCGAGATTGGCCTAACACGACTTTCACAATCACATCTATAGGATTATTCTTAGCCGGCAAACTCCACATGTCATACTTATTAGTGGTCTTTTTTTGAATGAAGAATCATCACAACAATATTGAGAACCGTCTAAAGATAACTCTACACGTGCAGAAAATTACGAAATACTCGAGATTCTAGAGAAGTTACTTACATATTGTGCTAAAAAGAAAAAATTAGAGAAATCGATTTGAGTTGTGTTGAAAAAGGTTAAAAAGTTCAAAGATAAAGTTGAAGATAGAAAACTTGGGAATGAAGCGAAGGATATGACTGGTCGCCAAAGGATTAAGAACGACACAGTCCCTATTCTATTATTATTATTATTATTACATACAAAAGTATTCAAAACCGAAACTTCTCGCAGTGGTGATGAAACGTCAACGCAATATTATCGTCACTTCCATTTTTTTAATTCCTTTATTGTATACTATATAATATGAATGAAAAGCAATCAAGGCTTTAAACAGAAAAATACCTCAAATAAAAAAAAAAACATTTTAATTTCGTTTTCATTTATAAACTTAACATTTTGATATTTTTATCTTTTAAATTAACAATAACATTCTAAAAAATATAGTTAAAATTTTGAAAATATAATAGTCAAAATAGTAGAAAATGATAGTTTCTTCGTTTATAATTAAAAAAAGGAGTCATCGACTCAGCAATCTCAAAGAGATTAAGCAGATGACAAAGTTCTTATTTTTGGACTAGTTTAAATGAGATTAAGGTCCACTAAGCTGATTTGTGGACTTAAGAGACGTGAGAAATTGAGAATCCACAAAACGTTATAAAAGTGATAAGATATTGTGGAGCTCTGTTGAACTGATCACATTCTAATGGTTGCAACGAAAATATTGTTTCGAGAGTTAAGATATATCATATATACATGCATGTACACAAAAAAACAGAATGGACAAAACATGTGCTGGATATTTTTTATCCTTGTGATTTCAACAATTATAAGACGCGTTATCTTATATTCCATAAACATGTTATTTGTGTTTTCTGGATGTTTAATTTGTTAAAAAAACTAAACTTAGATTGCTACCATATGACCAAAGTTATGGTTCTTACCAAATAAATTCGTCTAATACAAATTTGATCATATGTCGACGTACTGTCAGAATCTAGCAGAGAGCATACAATTGTCAAACTAAAAGTGATTACACATTATGAGAAAACGATAGAAAGATCCACATCCCTCCTGATCCACCGGTCAATTCCTTTTACTAAACTCTATACAAATACTTTAATACGCTAATCCTCTCTCCTCTATCTATATTACCAATTAAAATCAATAATTTAAACATATACTAGTGTACTAAATTATCTTAGATATGACACATCTACCGAAAGCTTTGTTCTTTTTAAAATGTTTTTGTCAAAAGAAAACACTAAAAACAGAGACAAAAAAAAAGAAAAGAAAAAAAAGTTGAAAATATTAGAAAAAAAAATCCAAAGACAAGAGAGAAAAAAGTAAACGCGTATAACAGATGGCGACAGGAGAAAGGAGAGAGTGGAGAAGAAGAAAAGAATTGTGATATCAAAGACTTCTTTCTCCCGACGTTTCACATTACAAAACACACAAAACCAAACTACAAAAGTATATTGTAATATATTTTTTTTTTTTCATTTTTCTTTGATCTGGAAAACAAAAGTGAAAGCTTATTCAAAGATCACAAATAACGTAATCTTTTTTTTTTTGCTTTAGAGATCGTTTCTTGATTCTGTTTCTCTTTTTATTTTTACTTCTTCTTGATTCTTTCTTATGGATGGACATCAGCATCATCATCAGCTTCACCACCTTCAATACCTCAACAAGCATCATCTTCAACATCCTCATCCCCAATCGCAATCGCAGACGCCAGAAATAGCGTCTCCGGTTGTGGGTGGGGATAGGTTTCCACAGTGGAGCGTTGAAGAGACGAAAGAGTTGATAGGGATAAGAGGAGAGCTAGATCAGACTTTCATGGAGACTAAACGGAACAAGCTTCTTTGGGAAGTTATCTCTAACAAGATGAAAGACAAAAGCTTTCCTCGTAGCCCTGAACAGTGCAAGTGCAAGTGGAAGAACCTCGTCACTCGTTTTAAGGTACCATATATGTATTTATCTTCTCTTTCTCTTTATTTCGTTGTGGATGTGTTATTATTATCTTTAATCATCTTGTGTTATAATTAATCTTTGCATGGAACAAATAAATAATTCTTTTTTTTTTTGTGACCAGGAAATTTTAATTTTTATAATCCATACTCTTTCCGGGACAGAGACAAAATTTTAATCTTGTGTTATCCATATATTATCTTCCAAGTAGTTTAGTTTGTATATATATATATATGCATATAATCTCATTAGTGATGTATTGCTTAATGTTTCTAGGGGTGTGAGACTATGGAGGCAGAGACAGCGAGACAACAATTCCCTTTTTATGATGATATGCAAATTATATTTACCACTAGAATGCAGAGAATGCTATGGGCTGAATCCGAGGGAGGAGGAGGAGGAGGAGGAGGAGGAGGAGGGGGAACAAGCGGGACAGCGAGAAAGAGGGAGTATTCTTCAGATGAGGAAGAAGAGAATGTGAATGAAGAGCAAGTAGATGTCAGCAACGACCCGAAAATCTTAAATCCGAAAAAGAACATTGCGAAGAAACGAAAAGGCGGTAGTAATAGTATTAATAGCAACAATGGTGTAAGAGAAGTTTTAGAAGAGTTTATGAGACATCAAATAAGGATGGAGACTGAGTGGAGAGAAGGATGGGAGGCGAGGGAGAAGGAGAGAGCAGAGAAAGAAGAAGAATGGAGAAGGAAGATGGAAGAGCTTGAGAAAGAGAGAGTGACAATGGAGCGCATGTGGCGAGATAGAGAGGAGCAAAGAAGGTCGAGGGAAGAGATGAGAGCAGAGAAGAGGGATTCACTGATTAATGCATTGCTTGCTAAGCTTACTAGAGATGATTGATTCTCTCTAATCTTTCTCAACTATTCCTAAACTTAGATAAGTACATGTTCTTTTATATGCTTGTTTGGGGTGTAGTGTAGGTTTCATTATTTGGTGAAGGAATAGTTAGTTTATTCATGGAAACACACTCAACACTCGTATATTGTTTGATGTGAGGACATTTTGAATTTTAGTGAGACCTCAGTAACAATTTAACCCCACATTCTTTCTTTCTGATATTTACATTTTGGTGAGCCAAATTTACTTTCAATGGTATATTAATGGGTTTAATCAGTAATTAGCATAACGATAATTGTATAGTATTTGTAATGAGAATGTAGATGTCAAGAAAACATAAGGTGCCAAACGTGCTATGAATATTGGGACCATTTAGGTCGATCGTTTCTAATATTTACTTCTTCTTTATTATCTTTTGATGATGAATCATATCTAACATGGCAGAGACAATACGTGTATGCGTGTGACGTTCCTTACCCACATAATATTGTTTTGATTATTTTGGATTTCATTGTCATTTGTAATTTACGTTGAAGGACATTCTTTGATATGAATACACATTCTATTCTAGGAATACTTTATTGGAATATTCGGTTTTTGTATAAGAATACGCCTAACTATTTTAAGGCTTCATAATATTTTTGAATCTGAATTAGATAATTGGATTATTCAGTATTTTTCAGTCATTTAATATAATGAATGAAGAAAGAAATATATAATTAGGAACTGATGACTCAAGGAAATTTCAAGATATTTTAATTCGCAAAAAGAAAAAATGCATGGAATAGAAAGATCAGTGGCAGACATATACTTATCTTTATCCCACGTTTGGTTTGGATCAAAATTTTGATGTTCTTTTCTTTGTTTTTCATATCAACGTGGTAATTTCACCCCAAATCTATCTTCATGGCCCATACATATATCGAAAACACTAAAAACTTTTCAAAGAAGTGTATCTAATTGAGGTCGAGTTAAGTATTTTACTTTTCCGATTAGCTTTTTTTAGATTTACTGATTTGGTTCTAATACAATTTTTTATTTTATTTTTGTTCATATTTTCCTTATGTTTTGCTTATGTTTTGCTAATTTTAATCATTTTTTTACCTAAAGATGATATTTCATGCTAACGATGAAAGATATGATTTTTTGTATTAATTAGTGATGTTGGGAATAGTACTTCAGATCTTCTATGGTTTACTCGGAAGCTGGACCGCTTATCTAATCAACAACGTCCGTAGGGAGAGAGTCCGTTTATAAAAACAAATTAACTACCTAAAATGTGGTTAACTTTTGATACTAAAAGACTCGTTTTCTAATAACTAATAAGCATATAAAGTGAGATCTATCCAGTTTGGTCATAAGGGTGATGTAGTCATTTTATCCGATAAAGAAGTGTATATAAAGGTTAACGCATTTTATCCGATAACCGTTATTCAAAGTAGTATTTTATGAGATTTGAGTTTTATTGAGATTTTGATGATTTTAGGGAACTTCATATGATTTATGTAAAATCGTTTTAAATCCCACCTAAAACTATGAGATTTGGATCCTTGTATTTTTAACTAAAGAAGTTCTTTGAAATCCTCTGAAATCCTCTGAAATCATTTAAAATGAAATTCACAAACTGTTTTCAATAACAGTGGATTTTAAAATGATTAGTTCAATAACACTGGATTTCATGAGATTTTTTAAAATTCGTGATTGAATAACACATGATTTGTAAAAGGTTTACAAATCACTTGAAATTCCATTTTAAACACACCTCTCTCATAAAAACATTTCAAAGAAGTGTATATAAAAGTTAACGCACTTAGCTTGGGGTAATGAATCGATGAATATCATGGATCGTTCTGTTGAAAGGGACAATAAACATATATTGTCACCGACATTGACAATTAAGTGTCCACATAAACATATACTGTCCACATAAACATATACTGTCCACGTTTTTTAAGCTCCATTCAACAAATTGTAAATATAGGCAAGTAAGTGTAATCACATTAGTAGTATATTACAAGCAGTTAATATCGTTAGCCCTTTGGAATCCGTAAGTCTGTGTAAGTCTGTATAAATGCGGAAAATAAAAACAAAAACGAGTTTGGAACAATTGAAGCGACTCCAAGAGTGTTTATTAGGATTCTCAATTATGAATGTTTGGGAGTTACACAAAGTATACCAACTATTTCAAAATATTGCTAAGTTCACCATTTTCATACATGGAGGTTAATATATCACAACCTCCTACGAGTTCTCCTTTAACAAATATCTGTGGAAAAGTCGGCCAATTGCTGTAGTTCTTCATCGTCTCCCTTAGCCCGGGATTAAACTCGTCGTCAAGAACATCAACTGTTTCATAATCAACTCCTTGGCTTTCAAGGATCCCAACCACTCTCTGTGAGAATCCACACTGAGGAGCACTTCTCGATCCTTTTATGAAAGCTACCACTTTGCTCTCTTTCACTAAACGGTCAATCAGTTCTTCTAAGGGAACCGTGAGCTCGACATGGCGGCCTGGAGTGAGACGGATATCTGATTTCTTTTTGGGAGTCTGTTTGACAAATGTGTTGTTCCCTGACTTATTCCCAGGAGGGACTTTTCCGGTTACTTTTATGTGTTCTTCTATCCATGATTTCCATGCTTGTGTTAGAACCGCTTTGTCCGGTTCTTCTACAATACCAACCTAGCAACCAACAATGAAATCAGTTATGAAAGGTAGTAACAATACCAAAACTTGCCAATATTCATCACGTCATCAAAACTAAAAAACAAAGGTCCTCTCAAGGTCATTGTTGGTCATCGAGTCAATGGAGCAAATATACACTAAACATTACTGTCAGCTAAATTTCTCAAGAGGTATAAAAAGAAATCCAAAATTCTTCTTATTAATTGAAAGAACTTGACAGATAGAGAATGGGAATCAAAATGCTAAAGAGAATGAATTCTCTATAACTCACAAACCTATTCGCCAATGAGCACTATTCTGTATCTATAGTAGAATTTCCCAAAACAACATAGCAAGAAAATTGCTAAATGAAGCCGAGATACCAAGTCCTAAGTAACATAACACGGTCACACTCTTCTAATGGAAGCATCTATTTGTGTTCTCTCATCTCATCATTAGGATTCGGTACTAGTATGCGTGTCATATCCACTTGATGAGAAAGGGTCTTATTGAGTATTGATGCATCTCCTAATCATAACCACTTGATGAGATTCTCACAGAAAAGGGTCTCACTGAGTACTGATACATATCCTAATCAAATTCAATGACCAAGGTTGCTAATGTGGTAAGTGTCGTTAAAGAACTCTTCTAGTCAACAACAGATCCAAGAACTTCACTAGTTCAACTTTCGAAAACAGAGGAGTGTTTCTAAATGATATGAAATACGATTCTGGAGCTAAAGTGATAAACTTTGTACAGGATTCACTAAGACCTTACCAAAATCTATCAACAGTAATAATCAAAAGTCAACCACATGGTACACTCTACATGAAATCAGCGGAGGTAGGGAGATAAAGCTTTTACCTTGACGGAGCCACAAAGCTCCGGCACAGATTTGAGATGTGCAGAGACACTCGCGGCGATGTTCCGAGATATTCCGACGAATTGAAGCTCCTCGCTGCTATCGTATACAGCGTATACGCCAGAAGCGGAAGGAATCGAATCAGCCTCTGAAATCGGAAGCAGCTCCGTCTCCGTCAGAGACTTTACGGCGGAGGCGATTAAGAAGGGACGACGACGAGACCGGACTGTATCAGTGCTACGTAGTGAGAGAGAGGGAAAAGAGAAGGAAGGAGGTGCGAAGCGTGAATAGAGAGTGATCCCAGGGGCATTTCGGGAAACTTGTGGACGAAAAACACGCGGAGAGGCTGAGCCGTGCAAGGAGGAGGCAAAACTGATTGCAGCCATTTTTGTCGGAGCTGAAACACAGAGTTATCTATCGGTGAAATGATGAGCTCATTTATTTGGAACAGGATTGTATTTATATGGGCCTGACTTGGGCTGATATTAAGGCCGTTTTGTAATCTGGTCCCTTCAATATACAGTATTACCAAAGGTGACTCATTTTAGTTACACATACCCAAAATATTCATCTTTTCATTATAAAGCCAAATCTTCTTCTCCAGTGTCACCAACAGATAGGCATTTAGTTGCAGTTCTCAGTATTCTTCTCGCAAGCAAATTGGATTTCAAACTTATATGATATATTTGATCAATAATGTGAATCTGAATCGAAATTAAAACATAGATATGTATACGTGATCATTATAATCCAAAAACTGAAATCCATTATATTAAAACCGGTTCTCCAACTTGTCTCTCTTGTATCTATCTGTTTATATTATAAAACAAAAGGATTTGACAAAGCCAAATCACTTTCTGGCACAACATTGCCACTCATTATTATTATTACCCTATCTACTATAGGTTCCTGCTTTGTATACTCATCAAGATGCTCTCTTTGTTCTCCTGATATCTGAAAAAAATTCATTTTTTTTACATCGTTAGAAATTGTGGCTACAGAAGTGGTAAGATCATTGAGTTATGCATACATGTTGGATTCTTACTCTTCGCCATTTCTGATTGCTGGTTTTTACGGAACAACTTCATCTGAGATAACAGCCTTGCCTAGATATACCTGTTGCATCTCCTCTTTCCAGATCTGCATCAACTTCATACATTTAATTCGCATTCTGACTAAAAAGGCGCATTAACTTGTCTAAAGAATATAAATGGCTTTTTGGTTCTCTTACCGTGTCACGGAACTCCACCCTTATGTGTGGCACATTTGTTTTGTGAATGTCGTTTCCATCAGGTCCTCTTTTGTAATAGTCTTTTCCAATCCAGTGCGACTAAAACATTTCACAGAGTTAGTACGATCAGCAGATCCAATCAGAGATATCTTGTACATTAATACTTATATGCAATGTTTGATATGACGAGTACCTTCAGGGCATGTGAGAAACCTGACTGGTACACTGAGTTACGAGCTATCTCGCACAGGTCACACGCACTCAGCTTCCAAACCTGAAAATCCAGTTATTACCTTCGTTAGTACATCACTATAGCTGGATCCTAGCACAAAAGGATGGATACTGAGAAGTTTCACGGTTCTTTGGTATTGCAATCGCCAAAAACCCACATAAATTATCCAAAGGTAATAAGGCCTATCCTTTGACATGACTGCATAATGGAAACATCATGACTTACTGAGGCAGCTATGCTATACTCTTCCACGAGAGGTTCTTTAGTTAAGTGAATTTGAAGGGGATCATCCGTAGACAGGGATACATTGAGACCTCTTAAGAAAAACACAGGAAACGGGTTTCGGTGGTAATCTAGAAACAAAGAGTTGTTGCTCAGTGGAGACATGGCAAGACCAATCTGTCAAACAAAATGGGACAATTATCCAATCAGATTTTCTTAGACCAGAAACAATAATACATATGTAATACAACCAGGCAGTCTCCACAAACCTGAGCGAGGTAGTAGAGATACTGAAGCACAGGAGACTTTCGCAGATTGATTCCATGGGCGATGCTATGGCATGTGAGAAACGTAGCAGCCAAGTGGTCAATATCACCAGCCTGAAATTTGTAGACATGTTAGAAGTCCAATGAACTGTCACTGAAGAAAACTTTTTATATAGCACAAAGGAAGAAGTAAACACCTCTCCAGAATGTGGACGTAGCGTGATAGTAGTCATGCCCTTTGACTCCCGAAGCTGAAGAAAAATAGTTACATCATATTATTACACAGTTTTGACAACACCAAGTTATAGTTAATCCATATTACACAGAAGAAATTAGGAGGAATGGTACCTTATTTAGCACATAGAGGTTAGCATAACAATAGTAGACATAATACGAAAATGCAGGGTTGAATGCGTTAGTCCATTGAGCTGGAGTCGGCATGTGTTTTGTGGGGCGTCGTTCAGGTTTGCTTTCATCATCGACTAAATCAAACCCAACAACCTGAAATACCAAATAAGAATCGGCGCAACCAAAGAAGCAATCAAAACAAACAAGAGACATCAGCCTGCTAAACCAACTCTTTAATAGTTCAAAGACATGCGAATGAAAGGTTCTTTACAGATATGGATGCTAACCTGCTTCAAAAAAACATGGAGCTGGGGATGCGAATCGGGATCTACCGTGGCTTCAAAGAGAGGAATGAATATATTGTCAAGGATATTCTGGAAAGATGTCACAATACCCATGTCCTTGTAAATGTTGTACAGACGTGGGAGCTAGTGGGCAGACAAATAGAGAACGAGAAAAGTACAGCTCAGTTAGCAGTCATGTCACAAGGAGAGAAAAACACATACACTTATGGAGAACAAAAGCATCAAAGACGTGGCTAACCTGAATTAACCAGACAACATTCTCACTGTATAGATCATTGTTTACAATCCAACTAGCCAGTTGATCCCACTCGCTCATTTTTCTGCCATATATAGATATTCTGTATTCAGCCATCTGCAGTTTTCAAAGTAGACATCAGAAAAAAAGCAAAACAGAGCTATAATGGATCTTCATTGAAAAGAAAACTTCTTAACACAGAAATTGAGCAGAATTTCCATGCGTTTTCGGATCTCAAGTCAATACAAAATAGATTGGGACAAAGAAAGTTAACGTTGGGGATAAGAAAGTGAGTGCAAATTTGATATGGTCACTGAGACTGATAATCCAAGTTTGCTACTATAAGTCTTTTTTCGAAAGTAATAAAAGTTTATTCTAGTTGTGCTCTCTTTCTATATAGCATGTGCAACAGGAAAAAAGCAAGCTTTGTGTATGTAGGGAGAGTGGGAGGAGAACCATTACCAAAATCACAAGTCTCTCAGTATTTTCAGAAGATCATTATATCAAAAGCTTAGTTATTATAGATTTGACTGTAACACTGTTCTTCTGTTGTAAAGTTCATTCTTAATGCATAAGACACATCAGTTGACCCCACAAAGAGATACACTAGATGGATGTGGACTTTACCTGATATTTACTAGCTTCAAGGTCAGAGAAGACTTGCTTTGTTATCTCACCAAGGAAACGACCTAAAACCAAAAGAAAATAAATCTCAAAAGATTATTTTTGAAACACAGCCGTCAACATGTTTATTATATAGTTAAGAACAAAGAAACGCATCTGGTATATATGGAAGTGCATAACTGATGCATGATCCATCAAATGAACTAACAATGGTGGTAAAAGTGATTAGGTTATTTAGTTACCTTGGATGAGATTATCCTGTTTAAGGAAAATCTCCCTAAGTCTACTTTGACCACAGGGATTATACTTAAGGTTGAACTTATCAAATCGATGAAAGGTACTCTTGTCTGCATGAACATCCAAAAGGTCGACGTTTAGGTCATACCTGTGCAAAATTCAAACAAGGGGATGATGATTTATTTCTTCGGAATCATGGTAAACTTTGTAAAAAATATAGTATAGATAAGCTGTGCAACAAGGCAACAACCAGGTGCCTCTAAGAGAGTAACCTAACAATCCTTCAGCCATCTAATTTAGACTGACTTAAGTTGGTAATTCTTAGAAGTCGGAAATATAATTACCCAGTCAGATCCAGGCTCTCAAAAACTTCTTTCAAGGTTAAATATGTCCCATCTCGAAAAATTACAACCTGTATAAAGGAGCAAGAAATGATCATATCTGCAAATTAGCAAAGTGTATACTTTCCTCAAACATATATGGTTCTAACTGTTACCTCATCGGGTTCTTTCCGGAGCTTTGACTTGATAAACCTTAAAAGATGTTTCTGGTTCATGCAAGCTGAATGATGAACATGAGTGTCGACTTTTCTAACATTATAAAAATCACGATGTGGTGCACTTTTTTGAGCAAGAAATTCTTTATCCGCATTAAGCATCAAATGGAGATTAAATTTCTGAAAAAAAAAACATTATGTTAACCAGATGAAAGTTGCTTATTGGCATTCATTCTTCTCTAGCTAAAACTCTTGCCTGTTCTAGGAGCACTAGTCGACGGTGGCACAAAGTCCGGATGTTTCCCGCAGCTATGACTTTGAGTACGTGATGCAAATCAGTGAAAAACGCTGTGGCATCAGCTACCGGGAAGAGCTCTGCTTTTGCTGGGAATAATAGAATGGAACAAGGATCAGTTATTTGAAAAATAAGAGAATGTAACCAAATCAGCTTTTCTGGATACAGAAAAAAGAAGCATTAGAATTTTAGACTACTCTTACCATCTTTATTTGCAAACACATGGACTACCCCATCTTGCATCTCAAAATAATGCTGTAAATAAATATTTAACAAAGTTAAAATCCATCTATGCATAGCGTTTCATGAAAAATGTAAGGAACACAGACTCACATCAGATTTTCCCTGAGGATAGTGTGCAAATGGCTCTGGATTAGGCTTTGGGGTACTAGGATCAGATATGACTTCTTTTTCCCAAGGCGCAACTGTTTCTTGGAAGACATACCTCTTCCGCAGTTCAAGACATTCTTGAAGACATTTATAGGCTTCAACTTCATCGGATGTGGGCACCTCTATAAAGATCATGAGCAAAAATCTGAATAAGATATTTCTTTTAACTCTAATTGTTTCAAGCTATAATTCTTAAGCTAAATTCAAAAGATTTCAATGGCTCAGCTCCCACATAGAGTAAAGCCTCGTCTCACTCAAGGCGACTTATTTAACTATTTGTAACTCCACTTATTACTTGCCACTAGCAAAAACTTTAAAACTAATGGGGTTACAAAACTAACATGTCATGATTTGTAGCAACAGGAGAAGAACACTAAGTATAGAGGAACCAAGTTTGGCAAGAATGACAGAAAGAAAAAAAAAATAGTAACCATTCTTACCAAGAGGAACATTAAGACGGACAAAGGTTTCTTGTTCTGGCTCTTTACGAAGAATGTCAGCAGCAATAGGATCGGGCTGAACTCCATGA